CGTGACTTCGTGGCATTGATGTGTAGTCCATGCGCAAGCGCGTGCAGACAAGAAATACTCTTGTGGGTCCCGGGTTTTTGCCAGAGCCATTGTTTGACGTCGGTGATGTCTTCTCGCAGCACGAATTCGTCAGACCGCCAATCTGTACAGCTGGTCACCATTGGAGTAGGATGCGAAATACGTATCAATAAGTTACATGAAAAGCCTCTGCTTATAAGGCTTAGCATCTGAAGCGGAGGCTTCCAGGAGCTGACTTGGTCAGCGATCAGCTAAGCTGAGGTGGGTCACCTGAGCGGCTTAGAAACATGTAAAGCGTCCCATCCCCCAACCACACCACAGGGGGTGGGTTTGGGTGCCATGTGGGGGGCGGGGGGGGGGGGGACCGGGCGCGCCTTGATCATACATGTCCCTCAGGCTCTGACTCTGAACAGAGCTGGCGGAGGCAGGTCTTGGGCTTTTCCTTCCACATCCCATGCTGTGCAACTGTAAGATGCTGTCCGGCACTGCGCCCATCACGGCGGCCTTCGCCGGCGGGGCCGTGCCGCTGCCTCAGCCGCGGCCACAGCCATGGCCTCAAGATGCAGTGGCTGGGGTGCAAGTCAGGTGTCCCATCTGAGACAAGACTTGGCCCAAAACTGCTGACAGCTCAGCAGCCTGTAAGCATGCGCTGCTCTGCGCTGTTCACTGTTCGAGTGCCGTCCGAAATGCATGGGATGTGTCGCCAGCCTCGCGGTTGGCACGCTCGACCACCTCAGACCCAGAATCTAGGCATGGAGTATCATGATCTGCCGGCTATGGGAAATACTTCAAAATGCCTATAGAACACTGCCAAGTGCCGACACGGACTGGACTAAATTAGGGTCCTTCCTAAGGCCCTGAGCACACCGTAGAAGACATGACAGAGTGGACCCTGCTTGCATGAGTGTCTCGTCATCCTCTGCACCTCCTCTGCATTCCCATGCCTTTGGCTGCTGCTAGTGTGTGCTACGAGTAACTCTGACCCGGTTTCTTCCACTCCTTTGTGACATATGGCGTCAAACAGGTACCCGTAGGATCTGCTAAGTTATGCTTTGAATTATGCTGCAGGATGATGGAAGTTGAGTTGAAATGGGGAAGGAACATGGAAATTTGACGGGGATGGAACCTTGCCGGATCGGAAAAAATCTGGAGGCCTAACCTCAGGAGGCCGGTGCTTCCGGTTCAGCAGGAAGTGCAGCGCCTCGGGAGCCAGTGCACTGGCAGACTGACTCTGGCAAAGAGATTCCCACATGATTCACGCCCGTGCCCGAAAAGACGCATTCAACCAATGGCAATGGGCAATCAGATGGCACTTAACTTCACTTACGTGCCTTACGTATCACATCTCGAAATTCTGTGCGGCGCTCCTTAGGATCCTTGTGGATGCCGCTCATCTCCTAAGAGCAAAATGCTTGCACAGCTCGCACAGCGCCCTTTCGTTCCATGGCGACGTCAAACTGAGCACGCTTCCAACGTGGAACTGGCATCGAGCGGGCGCATCTGAGCATACGAGAAGCAAGGCGCGGCTCACTTTGTAGTCCCTTGCCATGACAGAATGAGACTGGCTATGACTGGCTACACCGGCTACATTCTACAACTCCAGGACACTACAGTCACTACACGGCGGCCGCACACTCAAGGGATCCAAACTCTTTCACAATCCCTTAATCTTATCCTTGTATGGCCCCTATAAGGGCATCGTGAAAACGGGACCCCAGGGCACAACCTTACATTTTACATTACAACATATTACAACCTTACGGGTCCAAGGGAGTCTCTTGATAAGCGGCGCAAAGAGGCTATGGGCTGCCGGCCGCAGGGAGTTTCTGGAACCAGTGTCAACAAGCGTACCAGTGAGATGTCTGCTTGTGACGTGTATTTTGTATTTCGTTGTTCTTCTGAAGGCGTGCATGCCAGTACAGTTGTTGATTTGGGGGCTTGGGCCGGCCTGGGATTGTGTGAGAAGACATAGGGAATCAGGGATTCAGTGGAGGTGAAGCACTGCGAAGCTCAGCATCCTCGTGTTCAAAAAGTTTTTAGCAGGGCACCTGCCTGAGCACGATCGGGAAGAATCGGTGAAGAAAACAAAGCTGTTTGGCGGCTATACGCTAGAACTCCTGCGTCAATCCTTGATCGGACCTTTCCAAAAATATTCTCACCACACAGAGTTGTTCCCTCTTTAGTGCGGGGGGCACTCTACAAAGATTGCTGCGAAGAAGGGCGCGGCTGACGGCGAGACTGTCTTACAATGTTGCAGAGATGATCTGTCGAGTGGCGCGGAACAGCAGGCGACCCTTCTCGCCACAGCCCACCGCTTCACGGACGCGCCGCAGCAAGACCTGGAGGCCCCTTTTGCATGTCTAACTGAAAGCCGCCAAGGCAGATCAAGTCCTTCAAAAACAAACGCCTCAACAGTCGGCCTCAACAGTCGTGGAGGTGGAGGCTTGGAGCTCGAGCAAGTTGCCAGTATCGGCCTCGCTATGCCATGTGGTTTCCTCGATCCACACTGGAGCGTTCCTCAGCTCCCCGCCTGGGTGCCATCGTGCGCAAAGTACAAAACCCTGCTGTTCAGGATCATCATCAGCGGCGGATCATGAAGGAAGCCAACACTTTGCACTGCGCATACCAACAACGTAGGATTTCAAGAGTCGCCTCTCGTGTGTCTTTCCTGACTGCTACATCCACTGCTATGCTGTCGAGGTGCTTCGGCAGATTCAACACAACACATCGCAAGCTAGCGCAAACTGAGTAAAACAATAGTTTAAAAGTCCAGCTCGGGAGGTTGCAACAGACATGCTTGACCTAGACTCCCTAGACTCCATGCCCACTTCCCATGGTGGCCTGATGCACACGGATAAGGGCAGGTTTGGCCTCAGCACAATGCATTTGTCAATGCCCTCGCGCCTGCTTCATTTGATGCTTGCGAACTTCACGCACTGATTAGGTTGCCCTGCGAACGAGTACAAGAAGGTATCGGATACCAACACGTGCCAGCACAGCATTCTGGCTTTCATGACACGATGACGGTCCAGCGCTGCACGTGACTAAATATGTTTTCATGCCTCCAACAGCACTCGGATCCCACACCAGTTGGCGCCCCATGCCCTATGATTCGAACTGCCTTTGAGGAGGAACCGCAACGGCCGCAATGGCCCAACGATCGGCAATTTCGCAGCTCTAGAAGATGGTGGAGGGCTCAGTTTCGACTCTCGACACCGCCTCCCTCAGCCATTTGCGATTGCGTGCCGCATATAAGTCGCACTATATAGCAGCAATGGTGCAACACTTCTCTTGCACAGAAAAGGAAGTGACGATGAGGCCGCAACTGGGGCACAGAGCGCTGCATGGGCCTGATGACGACTTCACGCAGCAGAAGTCCAGTGCAAACCAGTGCTGCTGCAATTTCTGACAGCCACGTGCAGGGATCGGGCAGCTTGGGCAAGCTCCCATCACGAACGACCTCGGCACCAAGCACATATCAAGCACATACCACTGCATGCGCATTGCCCTTGCAAGTAGGACTATGGCTTATAATTAACGTGGCTATATGTGGCTATCGTGGCAGAAGTGGGTAACAGTCGCCGGCACAAGCAGGGCAAGACAGGAGACTTGCAGCTGTCAAGTTCCAATAACAAATTCAAAGGGGTGTTGGCAGGCCATGTTGCACACACGCACGCACGCACGCACGCACGCACACACACACACACACACACTCACTCACTCACTCACTCACTCACGCACCCACGCACGCACGCACGCACGCACGCACGCACCCACGCATGCACGCACGCACGCACGCACGCAAAAAAAAAAAAAAAGTTTCGCCCATTCCAAGACCCAGCCTCATAGGTTCATGTTCGGTCATTTTCGGAGTTCTATCTTTCCGGTTTTGCCCGGCCAGCGTATTCTTGATCAGGGCCTGCGTTTTGTAGAGCCTTTAGACTGAAAGCAACAGTATGTGATGACTGGAAATGACGAAGCTTATCTGACTCATCGTCTGGACTGGTCTGCGCCTGCTCGCCAGGAACTGACATAGTAGGACAAAGAATTCGTCGGCGGTGGGGCCTGCCATGCCCACTGCTTGCCATCTTCATCTTATACTGTACGATTGGCTTATACTTGCATAATGCGAAATCAAATCGCACAGCCCTCCTCTTCGATCTCGCCACTCTCCATTCCTTGCAGTCGCCTAACTTGTGCTCAGAGCAGGTCTTGCACACGCGTTGCGCTGCGGGTGCTATAAGGCCAAGAACGAAACACTTTGCAGCATACTCTGGGCTGCAGGCCTTCCATAGACTTCGTCACCCACTGCACTCAGGGCGGGGGGGCGGGGGTGGGGCAGTTGCCACCAACACCCCTGAAAACCCCTGAGCCAGGGTGGGCTGCCAGGGTCGGATGGAAGCATGGATGGGGGGGCAACACTGGCAACTAGACCGCTGCACCACTCCACATCAGCTTCAGGAATTTGGTGGCTGGCTCAAATCGTGTTAACCACCGAAACTTCTTTCACATCCTGGTGCACATGTTCTGCCGAATATGTAATGTTGAGAACGATCAATCAAAACCGAATAAACTCTTAAAGCAATCACAAGCGGAAGGCTCATCAAGCAAGATTGTGCGACAGCGGTCTTGTCACGCCAAATGATCAGGTGCATCTCAACGGCCGCGGCCTACAAGCCCAGAACATCTCGAGCATTCTCGAAGCATGGCGCCCAAAGTCCCATGCAGTATGGAGCTGTGCTCGTCCTCAACTGGTACACTTTTGTACACTGCATCTCTCTCGCGTTGACGATTTCGCGAAGCTGCGTGAGCTCAGCTCTTCCCGGATGGGGCCCGCGGCTTCTTGTCCAGGACGCTGTCAAGCCTCGTCTCACCGACATCATGAAAATCTGGAAAGAACCGCCTGGTTGTCACTCCTTGTGGTGGGGGCACAGTTTTCCAGAACTCCATCCGACTGATCACGACTGCTCCCCAACCACAGGCTAGGTGGATGAATGCAGCACCCTGCCCGACTGTGGTTTGCGGGCCAACATGTAGACCTGCAAAGGCCAATGAGACGTACCACCCATGATTGCATCGTTGTCCCAGTATGGCGACGTGAGGCCCAAAAGGTAGCCTGCAAGCTCTCGCAAAGTGCCCGGTGCCCAGATCTCCAAGACCTCAAAGCCAGCCTCCTGGATTTTCAAAACTCACACAAAACTCACACGTATCAACCAAGCAAGAGGCACACTGAAAGGAAGCGGCGGTTTGTTATCAGGCATGGCCTCTGCCAAAGACCTGGCCCCATCAGGGGTAAAGCGCCAATAATCCTGGGGTGATCCATGAATCTGGCTGAAGAGCGGCGCAGACCACGCCAGCAGCCCACCTGGCAGGTAGCTCAATGTTGGCCGAGTTACCAGGCAGTAGCTTGCAGCAAAAGTAGGCTTGGGAAGAAGTCTGCACGTAGCTTCAAGTCCTGCCTGGGCCTAAGAGTCGGAAAAGCTGCTGCATTGCCAGCCATGGCTTCAGCAGGTGCTCAAACACCTGCGAACAGATTACTAAGCCAGTGGAATTCTCAGGCACGACCTGATCTGCAATATGAATGTCCAAAAAGAAATCTCGTTTCTCATTGTCCGCATGTTCCCGAAGCTGGGCATGTCCATCGCCGAAATATGTAAGGACATCGTTCACATCGCAGTGCTTGGCAAAGAAGAACCGGCTGTTCGCACCAGAGTCCCATTCCAAGCAGCGCCGCAGCCTTAGCTAAGGCTAACTAACGCGCATGGCTGCAGCTGCCCACCTCAGCCGACCCTACGCACTCGCCAAGCCTAATTAAGTCTCTCAGATGAATCAGAGATATCAACGTCTACCATGCTGAGATCGCAACCGCTTTCTGCCGTTTTCCGCGGGAATCTCTTCGGGCGACACAGTCTCAGAGACATGTTTCAGGAACTGACCCATCTGCAGGCGCTCAAAGGTATGCTCGTGTCCTGCGGGGTTGCCTCCTCGGTTCTCTGCACGCATCTTCCAAATAACTCCAACCAGGTGGTCTTCTTTATCCACAAACCATGGGTGGCGAAGTGGAAGGATGCCAGCATCCCAGCTTGCTTGATAAAACCTGGCAAATGCCTCTTTCGCACAATCCTTGGGAGTCAAGCAGCGGAAGCGCCCGCGTGCTTGCTGTTGCGAATTATTCGGGGCCAGCGCCTGCAGAAATAGCGCAAACTCGTCATCGCTGAAGTTCAAAAACCTCTGCAGAAGCATAGGCTCCGCTGACGGTCTCGCCACCAGCCCATGTCTACCAGGAACTTGCGTGCAACACATCTGCGGTGTGAAGTCACCACCCCAGCATCCAGACCAGTTTAGGTCGCAACAAACGAGGTACCAAGCCTCTGGCCGTCCACCCATGTTTGTCCAACAGTCCAGATCTGCCTCTGGCACTGCTGGAGCCTCATGTACCCTTGGACTAGCACGACTAGCAATGCTTGCAACGCTCACACTGGGCTCAACATCCGCGGGGAATGTGCCATTTCTGCGGAATCGCCATCGTGCCAATGTCATGGGCCAAACCACAGCCACGTCTGATGCCATGGCTGATTGTGCAGGGAGTTCCGAGAAGTCCTGCCCGGGGGTGCTCATTCTGCAGGAGCAAGCCCAGTCCGCTTGCCGCTTGCGTTTAGGTGAAGTTTAGCGGCTTAGCGGCCTATCGATGGCATCCTAAAGTTTTAGAATGCTCTTGACTTTAGCTGCATGCCTCGGCTGAGGAGTGCTGCAAATCCTCCACCAGCTGCGCCCACTGACCGAGTGCAACGTCAGCTGGAAGGTCCACCTATCACATGCTTGAGCATGCTTGCAGGATGCCTACGTACCTGGGACAGCTAAAGACTGCGCACGAGCCCACCACGCCCACGCGCGCACCCACACGCACCCACAGACAGACAGACAGACAGACAGACAGACAGACAGACAGACAGACACATGGACACACAGACACATAGACACACAGACACAGACACATGGACACATAGACACACAGACCCACAGACACACAGACACACAGACACACAGGCACGCAGGCACACAGGCACACAGGCACACGGACACACAGGCACACAGGCACACGGATACACGGACACACGGACACACAGACACACAGTCACACAGTCACACAGTCACACACACACATAGACACACAGACACACAGACACACAGACACACAGACACACACACACACACATATATATATATATATATATATATACATATATATATATATATGAAGTAGGGTTTATATTTCTTGTATCCCCAAAAGGACACCAGGTATATACACTCACCAATTTTTAAATGGAGCCTTATATACACTCACCAAAAACAGACATATATACCCTACTTCATATATACACACACAACACACAATGCGAGAATTTCGCATCCCTCGAAAGGGGGACTTGTAGGAGGACTCTGCAACAAACGGATCCTGAGCAAGGAAGGGCCGCGCTCATCAGGCCGCAACATGAGTTTAAAAGATGTTAGGCCTGCTAGGCACTCGACATCGAAGGCCAAGCAGTGCGAGCAGCTTCCAACTCACAGCTGCTCAGAGCCGTGTCACACTGTTCGAGATGTTTCAAGGCCACTTTTCCCAAACTCTTCCAGATGCATGCGAGTCCACAACATCCGGTCACCACATGTCACCACCACGATAAGCTGATATGCTGGGCATGTTTGGCAAGGCCTTGCTTGGAGGTGTGTGCGAGTTGCTCGTCAAACGGCCTTGCTAGAGCGCGGGCATTGGGCGTGGGCGCAGCCTCCCCCGCCTGCAACATGCTCGTCCAGGCTTGGCGTTTTGATGCAAACGTTCTCGATCTTTTGGTTTGGCTGTTTGGTCATAGTTTTCCGGCACGAGTGGGCTGCCTTGCGGGGGTGGCTCTTTCACAGCTGAGACTTGCTAGCTTGCTCTTCCACCGAACGGACGAAAACAGAAACCGAACCTGGAATGCCGACATTCTCTGCCACTCTTGCAGCCGACCAACGTTGCTCTTTCTTTCTCAGTTCTGCCGTCTTCTGCAAAGGCGCAAGTCATTGAGCTCAAACAAAGCTGCGACTACTTCACAGAGGGCCGGATCAACATCACTACCAGGACAACTCAATTAAGCGAATATACACAGCAAATACGGTGATACAGCGACCAGGCTACTTCCAGCCTGTGACAATCCATCGGCCTTGAGGGCAAGCTCCGCAATAAATCGCGCCACATCTGCAGAAAGGACGATGCCCAAGCCGTGCGCGAAGACTGGGGCACGACGGCGCCACAAGTAGCGCCGCTTCGCCCCGGCAAACACAGACTCCTCCGATGAGATAACCAAACGCTTCCCGGTTCCCAAGTCCTTGCTGAAACCAAAACCAGAAGATGCTTACAGCATCTTGCAACCAAGCAACGTCGAGGAGAAGGCCGTGCATCAACCTGAGCATCTTCTTGAACTACATGCCAGCAAGGGCAGTATTCCAGTCCATCATTTTGCAAGTCCCCTGGTCCCTTATCTCAAGCTAAGGAGTTTTCACATGCTTGACACTGCTAGAGACATGTCACAACAGAAGGGACAAGTAAAGGCTTTATGTAAGGATGCACCTCTCGGCTCCGGCTACACACGAAAGTTTGGCAAAGCTCATCGACAAACTCGGATTCGGGCCGACGTCGAGGCCAGCCCGGCATTTGTGTCAGCAGGCGAGGGACATTGGCATATGAGCGGTGGTCCAGGAGAAGCAAGAAGTCTGCTCCCCCCCAGCGCTCCTCAACCAGCCGCCAGGCTTCCTCGTATCGATAACAGCCAACCTCATGAACAGGCCGCACTTTGCCAGCGTTTTCGGCACTTTGACTTTCGCGCGGAAGCCGTGCGGGCCCAAGGGCCACCAGATCACGGCGCAGCAGAATCTCCCGGAGTGCCAAGTGTCGACGCCAATCTCCTGGCAGCTGCGTCATGACAAACAGCCATTCGAAATCGGCTGAAAGGGAGGCCCATGATGCCTGTGGATCAGAGTGCTTGGTCTCGAGATCATGCTTCACCTGTCCCATTGCCCGCCTCATGTATGCACGCAGTTTGAAGTCGTGCCAGCGAGAGCCAAAAACTAAGATGGCTAATTTCAGCGGAGAATTGGTCTCCTCGTTTTTCTGCTCCTGCCGGGCTCGCTCCAAACTGGCTAGCTCCTCAACACTGGACTCCGGCAATTCCTCAACCTCTCCATGCTCAGACGGCTCCACCGTATCAAGCGACAAGGCTTCGCCTAAAGGCTTCACATCAGAGCAAATGTGGCACTGGTACTTGTCGAAGGTTCTCCAGCGCTCTGGCGTCATACGATGGACAATCACTGCATCGTACTGACATGGCCGTGAGAAGAGACCTCCAAACTCATGGTGGTCATGAAACCACGGGTGGTAGTGCAGGAAGCGCACGTCTGCGATGTTCCGCAGCCACATGCCAATAAGCATGTCGTCATTTCCCCGCAACTTGAATGACAGGCCAAGGTCGGCCAGAAGCTCTGCCAAATCAACGGAAATGATAAAGCCCAGGCCATGCGCAAAAATTGGGAGCTTCGATGGCGAACCCAAGTATAGATTCACACTCCTGGCAGACTGACAGATTTGTGACTGATCAGCATGGCAGGTCTCAGACATGCCATGTTGTCCCACACTCGAAATCAAAACCCAACGCGAAACTAAAACTTCAACACCTGTCCCAAACTTGCCAAATCTGCCAAGCTTCGTCTCTTGAATGATGACACGCCTTTCTTGGTGGAAGCGCTGCGGCACGGTGTCAATCATATTTCCAACATAAACCTTCCGTGGAGGCAGCATGTCCAGGAGTTCTATGGCGTTTGCAAGGGAAATGAAATTATCGTCATCGGCCACCATAAGGTAGTCATACGAATACTCATGTCGCACGCGTCTGAGAGCCACGAGCAGCTTCCACAACTCCGGGTTTGCCTCAGCCAAGCTCAAGCTCTTTTTCATCACACACTGAGCCGACTCTAAATGTCGGGCCTCTGGCAGGACGTAGGCGTCACCTATGTGTCGGTATTGGATCTCATCAGCACCACCAACAAGGAGAAGGTCACCAAACGCCTTGCGCAGGCATCGTGACGTGCCTCCTACGACACATCTACGTTCGGCAATGCTTTCCTTCCATGAAACGAATGATGTTCTGCCTCCACTACTCCGGTTACCCAACTTGATTTATTCGTGAATGTTGCCCCGTTGTCTTTGCAATGTCGAGGTTCGCCCACCCCCCACCCCCTGCCATCCCCCCTCCCCCCAAAAGCCCCAGTCACGTCTAGTCACACGTGCCATGTGACTCACGTGTCGCCCGGCCTCGGCTTCTCGAAGGGCCTTTTGGTGAAATTCCGCTTTTGAAAAATGTTTGGGAGGCACCATCGGCAGGTCGCCGAGCAGGAAGCGCCAAACGACCTCGTTGCCACGACTGCCCAAGCCACGCCGGCACCATGTGAGGCCTTGGCGAAGGAGTTGCCGCCGCTGGAAGTTCGGCCACACTGTGGTAACCAGCACGAGCAAGCGTAGCTTCACCCTGAAGCAAGGCACTAGCAAGCTCAAGCCCCCTGTTCACGACAGAGATTGACACCTGAAGTTTTGTTGTCCAACCGTCCAACAAAACTGAGAGATCCATGCACAGATTGGCGGCATCTCCCAAACCCCCCCTCTTCCCCTCCCCCTTAACAACAAATTTGGGTATCATGACTCCCCCAGTACTCCCCCGATTCTAAGTTGTTCGGCAGTGAGCCATGCGACATACTGCGACGAAGTGCAAAAGACTGTGCAACATGAAATGCGGCTCAGCTTCGGCTGGCTCTTCAGGTTTTTGATGCCCTCCCTGGCATCCTTCAAAGTCTCTTGGGCAGCCCGGTGTTGCTGGCTCCCGTCGAAGCGTCCAACATGAAAGTCCACGAGGCAACGGCTAGGCAGTTGCTCCAGGCACCATCCGGCCGTCTCTGGCTCCAGATCCTCGGCTTTCAGATCCTGGAATAGCCAGTCGTCCCCGAAACCGAGTGAGAATAACGACAGCAACGAGGATACAAATACCAGCGATGACGTCCAGGACATGCTCCCCAGCATGGCTGCTCTACATGCGTGCCCATAGGAATGCTTCGCTCTAGGGCCAGAACATGCCAGTTCCGAATGTTGCATGGCACTCACACCACATGCACACGTACTGCGGCATTATTTTTTACGTCGCAATTTCTTCAAGGCGTTTAACCCGGCCCGTTTTCCCGAGTTTTGGCGGCAAGTGAGAGGTACACGGTCACGCGCCGAGCGCTGTTGGGCGGGTGTGCACGGCCTGACAGCATCTGACAGGGAGGCAGGGAGGCACGTTCGCAAGTCATTGGGCACACTACTGGCACCCTTGCGAACCTGGCCACAGCCTACTGGCGATGGACGGAAAGAATAGCCTCAACTGGAGATAATAGATGTTGGCTTTGCAGGCTTAGCAGTCAAGGCTTCCAGATGAGCTTACCACTCATACTGACTGAGTTAAAGGCGCCATGTCGGAAATGATTCCCGAAGACCTCAAGACGACACGAGCAGCTGCATGGCTTTCTTCAGCTCTTCGGCAAAGTGGCCTGCGATATTTCATGGAGAGGGCGTGCCAAAGTGACCTCGCGTGCTGTGGTGATACTACATGACAGACAGCAACTGTGCTTGTGAAGGACACTGACAATTGAAGTATGTACCGCAAACTTCGTTGGCATATCTCGGGCTATGTTAGCCTCTACGTTCTGTTCAAATATTTAGGGCAGGACCATAGTATTTGCAGTGGACAGTCTGTGACGCAGGAATGTAGACGTCAGGGCTGAATGGATACAGCAAGCCAAAACAAGCCCGCATGTTTCCGCGGTTGGCAGTAGCTGTCTTCCGAGCCAATGTTGCATTTTAAGTATGTGGCCTCGCCATGTTATGCTGTACCGACTATGCCACTCAGCTTGCGGATGCCTGCTGGATGCTGGCTTCGTGATGCTTCGTGAGACTCAGTGTTCATTCTGTAGAGACGTAGGGCGGCGTCGGGTGAGGGTACGGAAGCTTTGTTGACAAAGCTCAAGCCATTCAAACCTCACCTGAAGACATCAATCCGCCGAGGCCTGGGGCCTCAGGTGTCTGTGCTACCCAAAGCAGGCAACCCCCCTCCCCCCCCCACCCCCCACCCGCACAACTCCACCTTCTACGGCTTGGGTTGCCTCGATACGGAAGCTCAGGCCGAGGCGGGTCGCCTAGCGTTAACATTAGGAACCGCGGCGCATCGTTGGGAGTAAGCGGGGTTGCATGTAACATGCCAAGGCGCCAGCAACAGATACAAAAGGAAGACCCTCGCACGAGTGTATCTACATCATCCTGCATCCACACAGCAGCATTGACACACCAAGACTGCCCCTGCTTCACAGCTGAGAGCTCCAAACATCGGGAAGTGCCATGTGGGGAGCTGCGGGCAAGATGTTCCAGGAAGCACGGGGTTTAGGTTGCTTGCCACCCGCCCAGCACTCGCACGCACGGTGTGTGTTTTTCCGTGCGTGTACTGAGAGGATGCTCCGGCCCTTCGCACTTACTTGGTATCACGGACGTAACCATCGTGCGGGCATGGACGCCCTGGCCACTCGTAAGCACTGGTAACATGGAATACATGGACGCTATCATCGTGCAAGGATGCTCTGGTTGTTTAGTATACATTGGTAACGTAGACGTTATCATCGTGCGTGCACGTTATCATCGTGCGGGCAGTCCTATGCCGTCCTATGCCAACCCCCCGCCTCCCCGAGAGAAAGCAAAAACGAACCCTCCGCCGCCCATTGCACTCTGCAACCTATGTCAAGCTAAGTCCCCCTCTGGCATGAGGTTTGGAGAAGATATTCCATTGAAGGGCCACCGTCGTGGCTCTCTGACAAGACTTTGGCATCGCCACTCGAATCACCGACCACGCCTGTTCGACACCCAGTGATGCGAAATGCGTCCACCCTGACATCAAGGCAGAGAGCATTTTTGGCCGTAGGGCGAACCCCGTCCTTGCTGCTGCGGGTGTAGCAGGCTGTGGGCGCCAGCCCCATTAGCGATTAGATGACTGCATTGTGATATGTGATCATGGGGTCTATGCATTACGACCACCCCCTCGAGGCGGGGGAGTACCCCCCCCCCTCCCCCCCCAAAATAGGTACCCGTACCTTTTCTTTTTTTTTTGAGGGAGGGGGGGGGGGAACACTCTGACATGAGCACATGTCCTGAAGATGCATCTTAAGGGAGGATACTCTCACAGCGTCCGGGGTCTCTCTCCGCGACCTGACCCTTCATGATGGCGGGGCTGGATGGGTTTCCCCAATAAAGCAAAACATCTGAAATAGGTACTTGCTGGGGGGGGGGGGGGGGACTCCCATCTTCTGCTTATGAAACCTAATGAAAACCGCCCTAAACCCTCCCCTCGAGTACCTATTTTTCGATCTTTCCGCAACCTGACCTGACCCCTCACTCAGGCGGGACTGTGGGTTTCCCAGCAAAGCAAAGCATCTGAAATAGGTACCGGGGGGGACTCCGCTCTTCTGCTTCTGAAACCTAATGAAAACCGCCCTACCCCCCTCTCCAGTACCTATTTTCGGTCTTTCCGCAGCCTGACCTGACCCTTCACTCTGCTTATGAGACCTAGTAAGAGCCGCCCGAACCCCTGCCTTGCAATACCTATTTTAAGTTCGCACAGGGCCCGTGCTGGGCCTGTAATGTAAGCATCTTGCAACATGCAAAGTGCAGTTTGGCGTTGAGTGCACATCTGCCTGCCCGACCGACTCCCCATGCCTATTTCTTGCCCCCCCCCCCTACTGCGACAAAATGGGTCCCGGAAATAGGTGGCACTCAGAGTAGCCCCAGTACCATTACGAGGGGGTGGCAGTTGTGCATTCAGAATAAATCAAAGTGACCATAAGAGTGCTGAATGCCAAGGTATGATCATTTGAGTCTCGTTGAGCTCTGCAAGTTATGCGCGGATTCGACTTTCCGGCCACGTTTGAAACCGCTGCATGTACTGGTAAGCTCCGTGTACAGTCACGTCCCGCGTTGTTGCCCCAGGAAGGTGGAAACTTGGGATATCTTGGTATGCTCGACTGGGGACTTTGCGATCTTGCGACCTGGCTCATGCGCGGATAATTCCAATGCCGGATGCTCTTTCGTTGCGTCTGTGCTGGCGCATTGGAATGTTACGGTAGCTACACCAAGGACCTGAGGCCTCAATGCAGTTTCACTATAAGCGAATAACTGATGTTGTTGCCCGTTGCCCAGCATTAAGCTGACTGCACCAAGGCACTTGATCAATCTTGACAATGAGGTCCCCCTCCAAGAGGTCCTGACCTGCACCGTGTGTGCAGTCTCATATCATCTCATCATCTCACATTTTGCTTCGATTTGACTATTCCCTGTCGCCTGGTTCATCTTGAACTTTCCTCGAATCAAGACGCAGTGAGCTTGGCCAGTCAGGCAAAAGTACCAAGAGCCCTGCCGAACGCGCATGCCCAAGTTCTTCCTCAACCCGCTTGTTTCTTCCAACAAACGTGTCGTCTTGCATTGCACAGATGATCTGGACCACACATGAACTCAATAAGGCCGCTGCTCTTCCTGCAAGTCCAGACCGGCCCTGCCCTCGTCAGCAATTGTGCAGACTAAGCGCGTGCATCTTCCGATCTTGCTGTGTCTGCATCATCTGTGCCTCGATAACCTTCAGGGGTACCTCTAGATCACTTGTTCCTGGCCACGACAGCCCTTGCGCAGCCGACGCTATGACAGAGCGTGCGCCCTCGAACCTGGAGGATTTGTGTCGGGTTCTATGGCCTCAGCACGACTCGGCTGCATGGTTTAGCTTTCCGTTGAGAAGATAAGATGCTGAGTAACTCGTTGTCGGATGTTGCACATTCCAGTGAACGCAGGGCACAATGGAAAATGCAGAGCGCATCGTGTTTCCACATGGTGCCCAGTTCCAATATGAATCATGTGACTGACCACAGCAAAACGTCTAAACATGCAGCGGCTAGCGACTCTCTGGCAGCATCACGCAAGATCAAATGGCCATATGCCATCCTTCAACCTTGAATCCTTGGGATCCCCCGCCACTTGTTCCACCTGTTCCAGACTGTGTCGTTCCTCGCAGGCCTTAATGCAAGCTTCACTCCAAGTGTGCTAATGGGCGCATGGGCACTCGTGCGTGCACGTCCATGGATTTTCCCAGATGCCCTGGCCTCTGGTGCCGGATAACCTGAGACTTTGAGATCATCGAGTTTCCGTTTGGTGAAACATACGGACAACAGACGATAGCAGTATTTCTGAAGCTCCCGGGAACTGCTCGCGCCTCGTCGTGGCGGCAGAAGGTGCCTTGGTCCCCGGACCCACACGGCTGCCTTTAGCCGAAGTTTCGATCAAATTTCGATCGATCGAAGCTGTGCCGAAACGCCAGCTGTCACAGTGGGACTTTGATTGAATTGAAACTTCGGGTACGCTTGATTGGTGCCAGCTTGATCTGAGACCTATAAGCCTGGACCGTGAACATCCCCTTTTACAACAGGCTTTGGGGGGGTCCACACCTGGAGGATTCTGGACTGATACAAGAAAGCACTCTTCATTCACTGCGCCTGTCATCAACCAAAAGACAGACAACATGGATGTCTAGCTGCAGTGTGCATGTCCTCATACATCAAGCACTACAAAGCCATCGGGGACAAGCACAGTTCTTGCTACACTGGCCAACACGTGCAGAGACTTTCGTGCAGCCTCATTCAAGGCTTTGGCCAGTTGGAGTTTGAGATAGTTTGGGGTAGATTAAAATCTTTATTGGGGTGGTCCCGGGGTGGTTGGAAGAAGGCTTGATTCCTCGCAGCGATTTGACTGGACATTGCAAAATGTACGATGGATCGCTCAGGGTGGAGTTTTTTTGTGTGATTTTTTGTTGTGCCTTTTTTTTGGGGGGGAGAGGGGGAGTCGTTTTCTTCCTGGTTTTCCAAAGAAAAAACTACATTGTCTATATATCTTCCTAGGTTCATACTATTTTTCGTAGGATTTCCTATTTGTTCTCTCTTTTTGGTTCGTTTTCTTGGCTTTTCCTAGGAAAAGGCTATATTCTCATAGGATTCATGCTACTTTTCGTAGGATTTCTTATTCCCCACCCTCGGTGTGGGGTTGTTAGATTCTCTTCTCCTGGCCCGGTCTGCTCCTCGCTCTTCCCTGGAGTGCCCAACCCCAAAGTGTCCTGGAGTGCCCGCCTGTAGTGTCCCTGGAGTGCCCAACCCCAGAGTCTCCCTGGAGTGCCCAACCCCAGAGTGTTCCTGGAGTGTCCAGCCCCAGAGTTTTTTTGGAGTGCCCAACCCCAGTGTCCTCGGAGTGCCCAACCCCAGAGTCTCCCTGGAGTGCCCAGCCCCACACTCTCCCTGGAGTGCCCAACCCCCAAAGTGTCCAGCCCTCTAATCTGGAGTGCCCAACCTCAAAGTGCCCCCCCCCCCCCCAGAGTGTCCCTGTTATTTTGGTTCGTTTTCTTGGTTTTTCGTGGGAAAAGCCTCATTGCGTCCATATTTTCATAGGATATAATTCTTGTCGTAGGATTTCTCATTCCCCACCCTCGGTGTGGGGTGGAGTGCCCAACCTCAAAGTGTCCCTGGAGTGCCCAACCCTAGTGTCCCTGGAATGCCCAACCCCAGAGTCTCCCTGGAGTGCCCAACCCGAGACTTTTCTCCCAACCCCAGGAACTCCCTGAAATGCCCAACCCCTGAGACTCCCTGGAGTGCCAAAACTTTGAAGTATGCTTTGCAAACACAATGCTCACATGATGGGTTTCAACAAGATTCAGAGGAAGTGAAGCACGCTTTGCACGGCTTAAGAAACAAGCGGGGGGGGGGGGGGGGGGGGGGGGGGGGGGGGGGCACAGCCCCCCATTTGCAACACAATGCTCACATGATGGGTTTCAACAAGATTCATAGGCTTTGAAGCACGCTTTGCACGGCTTAAAAGAAGCGTGGGGGCTGGGGGGGGGGGGGGCGGGCAAGCCCCCCCCCCCCCCCCCAATTTGCAGCCACAATGCTCACACGATGGGTTTCAACAAGATTCAGAGGGTTTGAAGCACGCTTTGCACGGCTGAAAAAAAAACGGTGTGTGTGATACTACATTGTACGATTGTACGATATAGTATATATATATATATGCATGTTTTTTGCTGTTTTTATCTATTTATTTACTTATTGATTTCGTTCATTCTTTCATTCTTTCCTTCTTTCCTTCTTTCCTTCTTTCCTTCTTTCCTTCTTTCCTTCTTTCCTTCTTTCCTTCTTTCCTTCTTTCCTTCTTTCCTTCTTTCCTTCTTTCTGTTTTTTTTTCTGTCTTTCTGTCTTGCTGTCTTCCTGTCTTTCTGTCTTTCTGTCTTTCTGTCTTGCTGTCTTTCTGTCTTTCCTTCTTTCTCTCTTCTTCTCTTGTCAAAACCTACTACAGAGGGAATTAAGGTTTTCGTACGAAAAAGCCACGAAAATGTACCCAATTCCTATGAAAAGATAGAGAAAATAGGAAAAGCCAAGAAATCTACCCAAAAAAAGAACCCACCCAACCCCCCCCCCCCCCCCCCCAAAAAAAAAAAAAAAAAAAAACTCACGCCCTCCGATCGCTCACAAGTCCGCCAGGTTCCGCACAGGATTTGCAGCAGCGCACTGCGGGCAACCTGAACGTCATCTGCAGGCAAGGACGGATGCTTTGTCAGATGCTGAACTGTTTATACAGCCGTTTCAGCTGCTGATTATACAGCTTTAGCGCTGCGTGGCCTCTCTGTCCACATTCTTCGACCATGTCACCTCCACCTCTCAAAAACAGCTGTCGGTCAAAAGCACCCGTTGTCACACAAAGTTCCATAAAGTTCTACCGCTCTCACGAGATTCAAAGGTTGGGCTAGCCCGCGGTCCTGCCGCTTCTTCAGTTGTGCGGAGACTTTGAACTTGGTCATGAACTTCCTAAGGGCAACAGGACAGTCACAGCACACCAATCAAAAAGCATCGTCCGATTCCACAGGAGGTCGGACCAACAAATACCAGTTGAGACACCCGCACCCCATGTTCTGAAACTATCTGATCTGATTGGGCCCTTGACAGCCCAGGTGGGCCCTTTGGTGAAGCCCCCATATTGACTTTGGAACAAAGTCATTGATTTCTAGACAAGTCAGGCTCAGAAAATGCCCGCTGGGGCGCACCACGTCAAGACAGCATCTTCTTTCTGATCAGCACAAAACCGAACAATGCGCCATACATTAACAGATGGTACTCCTTTCTGGAACTGTACATTGTACACGTGTGCATCTGACACCTAATTTGGGTGGTTTGTTTCCGGTGCAACTGGCTGCTGTCCTGTCGGCTGCCATTCCGGTGTTGCCCCACCTGTTGCCCACCGCCGTTCCAGTACGCCTAGTGGGGCCCCTTTGCGTCTGCTTGCATGTCCTGCACCTCTGAAATGACCCCAGAATGATATGTATGGAGCTCTCTTTTTTCTCTTGCTTTGTATCCGACATTTAAAATGGCACCTCTCCGACTCCTGTTGAGGCCTCATTGCCCGATACTTTCCGTGCATTTAGATGAGGCCATATTCGGTCGCATTCAAGCACAGTTGCCTGCCTACTGTCCTGACAGTTGCCGACCTGTGTCCCTCCATCCGCAAAATCTAGCAACAGACCGTGCCGGGCACACGCAACTCCAAAACCATTACCAGATCACCACCTGGTGCAGCCGGGCATCTGCAACTCGCTCTTGAGCTCAACCACATTGGAGGGTTCACGGCCCAAGTTAAAGCATTCGATGTCACCCTGCGCACAAAGACAGCTTCTCTGACAGCGGCAGATAACTCTGCCAGTTTGCTGGATGTTGAATGCTGTGGGCCGATGTCCAAGGCCTCTGGGCCGCTGGGCTTCAGCGTCCTTGTCCCCACAAGCAGAAAATAACAATTGATACAACTGATACAGTTGAAGAGCAACTCAGGAATAAGAAGAAGCCATTGCTACATTCCATAAGCCAGGTCGTAGTCGCGGTAGCCTGACACTTCCTGCTGAGCAATTGCATTCAAGGCACGAAGCCAAGCGAGTATCCGTCGTGACCCAGCTGTGCTTGAGGCAATCGTCCAAGCCAAGCCGGTCCTGCATCCAGTGTTCATGTCGAGAAAAACACATGCAATCTGACGAATCCCTAATGCCTCTGTTGTTATCCGTAAGGCCATGTCAGCATATCAGCCCATGTACTCATATCTTCGCTACTGTGGTTGATTGTGGTTGGTACTCATCACTTGAGTGCGCATTTTGTGAGTCCTCCGGGCGTACTTGGATCAATGCTCGGATCAAGTCTTTGGCCTGAAAACAGCCCCAAGGCGGCCAAGAGAGCATCCAGAGAGAGCACAGAGAACATCCACAGAGAGCATCCACAGAGAGCATCCACAGAGAGCATCGTTGGGCTTTTTGCATGGCACAGGGCTTCGGTACTGCTTCGGTTCTCAGCCCCGGGCTGTCGCTGTGGTGGGTTGGTGGAACTTGAAGCTGGCCTCGTACTGCTCTCGCACAAGAGGATCGCAGTTCTGACAAGTTTCTTTTCTTGCTTCCGTGCATGGTCCTGCTTTATCTGCTCCTCGCTGCTGAAAGGGTATACGCCCTCCAACATGACCTTGGCAATGCACGCCGAGCCTGGTTTTCAGAAAGCCTTCGGGCAAAATACGGTAGGGTGTGGGTGCTTCAAAGAAAGTAGCTGACAGCCAAGTTGGACATCCAAGACGTTCCAAGACGGTTACACATGTTGGCATCGACACAGGCAACACTTTCCGTCTTTTCACATGCACATCAAGACTCAAGTGGCCCTGTAAGGCAACAGGACTTCATCATCATCGGTTCCCGCGTACGCCTCTACAGTACCTTTCTTTGCTTACGCGCAACGGTCGAGGCAGGCAGCAAACTATGGAGCTCGAGATGTGCCAGGGGCCGTCGCTAATGCAACAGAACTGCGACCTACGTGGTTTGTCAAGGTATAGTGTTGTGACGGGCGTGGTGCCAGAAGTATTGGGTTTTAGTAAAACTAAATAAATACAAGAAGAAATACAAAAAAAATACAAACGGGGAATGCAAGAAAAACACGAGCGCAGAAAAGCCAGCCGAACAAAGTGCAAGAAAAATACAAGAAATTAAAAAAAAAAAAAAAACACAAGCAACTTAAAAAAAAAAAACACAAGCAACTTACAAGACAATACAAGAAAAATACAAAAAAAAACACAAGAAAAAATACAAGGGAAAATATACAAGAAAAATACAAGGAAAATACAAGAAAATTACAAGAAAAATGCAAGAAAAGCACAAGAAAAACACAAGAGCAAATACAAAGAAAAATACAAGGAGGCGCGAGGCGCGGGGAGGGGGGGGGGGGCTTGTGTTTTTGTCGTGTTTTTTTCGTATTTTTCGCGTGTTTTTTCCGTGTTTGTTTCGTGTTTTTTTCGTATTTTTCTTCCTGGTAGTTTTTTTCGTGTTTTCGCGGGCCGGGCGTGGGGGGGGGCGAGGGGGGGGAGGCGGGCCGCGGGGGGGGGGGGGGGAGCGCCCCGGAAGGCGGGGAGGGCGGGGGGGGGGGCGGGGGAGGGGAGGGGGCGGGAGGGGGACGGGGCGGCGGGAGGCGGCGGGGGGGGTGCAAGGGCGGGGGGGGGGCGGGCGGGGGCGGGGGGATGGGACGGGGGGGCACAGGCGAAGGCGGGAGGGAGGTGCGGAGGACCTGCTGAGGCGGGGGGGCGGGGCCGTCTTGTGTATTTTCCGTGTTTTTTCGTATTTTTCGCGTGTTTTTTCCGTGTTTTTTCCGTGTTTTTCTTGTATTTTGAAATATGCGAAAAACACGCGAAAAATACGAAAAAAACACGAAAAAATACGAAAAAAACACGGAAAAAATACGGAAAAAACACGCGAAAAACACGGAAAAAATACGACAAAAACACAAGCCCCCCCCCCCCCGAAACCCCCCGACCCCTCCGCCCCCCCCCGCCCCCTCCGACCCCCCCCGCCCCCCCCGCCCCCCCCCCTTTTCCTTTGCTTGCATTTTTCTCGTATTGTTCTTGCATTTTTCTTGTATTTTTCTTGTATTGTTTCTTGTATTTTTCTTGCATTTTTGGTATTTGTCTTGCATTTTTTTTGTATTTCACCGTTGTTCCTGAATCGCTACTTGTATTTTCTCTTGAATTCATTCTTGTATTTTTCTTGTGTTTTTCTTCATTCTGCTGGGGGGTCAATACTTCCGAGACGCGCTCCTCACAAGTATAGTGGTAACAACGACATGCGACGACACTTGCACCGCGACAATCCTGTCCTCCAACAACCCATCGCCTTCTGGGCTCAAGACATATATGACATGATCTTCCTCGGCTACATGTTTTCTGCCGTGTCCTGAACTCTTCGCTGAGGCTGCCACATAGAGCACGACGCCCAGGCTCCAAAGCTGGCACAGAGGCAAACATTTCGTGGCTGTGCTGTTTCCGAGATTCTGGACTGTCCACTTTGACGGCAACTGATCCATGACCTGTCGACAAAAACTCGGACCGAGTGGAGACACCCTTGGCTAATGAATGGTGGATTGGCGGGCAGTTGTGCGAATGGTGGGTATTTGTGGATAAGGGGAATGACGGGTGGGGAAGACGGGGAAGGGTGGGAATCCATGCGGTGGGAATAATGGGTAATGGTGGGAATGGTGGGTATGGTATCGGTGGGTGTATGGTGGGCAATGGTGGGAGATGCTGGGAATGGTGGAGACCAGTGAATTGACTTACATCTTCGGCTGCAACAGTGATGTGCAGCACATCCGCTCTGAGCACCAAACATCCACACGCTCGTCGTAACCTCTTGCACAGACTCCGGCATCCGAAACCTCGCCAAATCATCGGAGCAACTGCAGTGAACTACAATCACTACAATAAAACCTTTCTGTTACTAGAGCATGCAAGGGTGAAACACCATCAGATGCCTCGGGTGCCCAATATTGCGGGGTCCCAACCTGCCACATTCTGCCACAGAAAAACCGCGATGCTACCGTGACAAGGTCGTCCAATGGGGTGCAAGACAGGGGGAAAACACCTCCCAGGACTACGAACCTGGCTTTTCAACTTTTCATGCGTTATAGGCTTGGTTCTACGAAGGAGGGAGGGGATGAGGTGACCGGCAGAGATGGGGCATCAACAGCTTTGGGAAACACAGTTTCATGGCCCGAACTTGGGATGCGCCGCGTGGATGGGGCGGGGAGGATGGCTTCGGAAAGGTGGGCTGATTTTTCGCAGGGGCAGGAGGAGTGGAATGAAGAGCCTTCGCCTTCTTGAAGCTATGGAGCGAGGGTTTGAAACTGATTTCATGGCAGGGGGTGAATGGAACAACCTCCCCCCCACCAAAACCTTTTAGTTGGCACATGCAAATAATGTCTACTGGCGTTTGTCCGAGGTTGATCGACAATTTCAGCTCTCACTCTTGCAAGGCCTCAACTCAAAACATGTTGCAAGTGCTATCTGCACCACGTAAAACTGCCACGACTCTCCTTTTTGACCGCTGAGGTCGACTCAAAGCTTGGAACAAACTGATGCTGGGGCTTCGTGTTTTGGAATTTTCGGATTGGGTCTAAATTGGGCCGAATTGATCTGATGACGCCCATGAAAAGAACGTTATATATAATTTTGGCCCTGGCCGCCCCTCTCCCGAGAATTTCTGGACGGGCTGCCAGCGACACTGAAAGCGGCAAGTATGTCTCACAAACATCACCATGTGCAAATGTATGGGCTAGTGGCCTGGGTGAGAGCAGTGCTGTAACCATCGTCCACCAGCTGCGTGCAAGGCTGTTTTGGCTTCATCGAGATAGGCTGCGACACTGCAAGCGGGATGTCAGTCCTTCGCATACCCGAAGTCCGTGATCTTGACCTCAAGCCTTTAGCAGCGTCAGAGGTTTGCAACCCTGCTTGCAGTGTGGTTGGCATCGGGCCCAGACAAGCCGTTTCTGGATGCCTCTCCACGCAGATGCAGCTCTTGCCAGTTCCTATGCCGAAGCTTTGGCGTGTCCCTGCCTTGCGATCCACAAGGATATTTTCTGGCCTGAAGTAAAGAACACGTTGACATGAATTTGTGAAGCAAGTGCTTCGCTGAGCCAAGCACTTCAAGTCCCGGTGCACCACACCCTGCGTGCATTGGGTGCTGTAAGGTAGCACAAACAGCAATGAATCTGCATGCACTGACAGCCTCGGACCCATAGAATAGAAAGTCCTCATGTACCGTCCGACGAACATCGACTAGTCATACCCCGAGTGCAACCGCCACAAGCGGCCCTTTGAGTAGATCGGTTGTGCCATGTCCATTTTGAGACACCCAGCTTGCAGAGCACTCGGGTTAAAGAGCTTTTGCTCAATGCGTTCTGCTTTCTGACTTGCCGACCAAGCCATCTGGATGCGGCTGCAGATATCTTCGTAGGCAGGAGATTGGGCGAGAGCCCTGCTGTCTCGCAACTCGCGAAGCGCTGCTAAGAAATGCTGGGTGCCAGTAGGCGTTGCTAGAGTGCACGAGACAGCCGCGCAAGTGCCCAGCACCCGGACCCCGGGAATCCGGTGAGCTCTGTGGAGCAAAGCTGTTAGCATTCGTAGAGAGGGCAAAGGCTTTCCCGACGGGGAGCCGTATGGACAGCCACAGGCATCCCGCTTTCGTGCTCTGGTAGCAAGAGCGGAGAGCAATTCGTGTCCCCAGCAACGATTCACGCGAGGCTCAAACACCAGACCACGTCGTGCCGCAGCTGGACTGGCTCATTAACAAAAAAACCCAGCTCAACGCCAAGGAAGCACAAACATCATAAACCTTGTGGCCCTGAAGCAAGGCTTGGATTTCCAGGATGCCAAGATCCGGCCCCCACCCCAATTTGTATTTCGTTCCGGCACTCACAACGATGAGAAGATCACCCACTCCCTCGCTGACATCCACTAAGAACTAAGCATACTTCGGTGCAAAAAAATCTTCTGGTGAAAACCAAGTCCAACTTCTTTCCCATGACCTTGGAGTGGATGTATCTCAACCTGAGGGCTGACACGGAAACCTCGAGAGGGTTGTGATGGATTCTGTGCCGAGGCAAAGGCGCATCTGCCAACTGCAGGAAGACGTATCGCGCCTGCCGAACTTCTAGATTCTAGATCAGAGTCTGACACCAGGGCAGTGAACACAAACACACGCAATGTTCGGGGCAGACACGACGCCATGTGCGCTTAGATGTGCAAAAGTTGCCCGAAAAGCGATGCAAATTGAGAGAACGAACAGAGAACACACACCAATTCAGCTTCAGCTGGAGACAACAGCATCCATTTGATGGGGAATTCGGCAAACAAAGGTACAGGTTCTTTTCAACCCGCTTTTCTTCATCAGAGATGTATTGCTTCAGCCCAGGGATTGGCAGTGCAGAAATCCACGGCGGTGAGGGTTCCTCTATGCATGTTCTTTCTTGGCAGCCTACTTCGTCAGCAAATGCGGCCATGTTCGCATCAGCCAGCATCCGCGTCGAACTGTGACCGACGCCTCTTTGTTGCATTGTGGCCCTCAAGCCGTTGCTCATGCGCACGTGCCATTCAAAGAGTCCTCTGATCCTTGTTCTGCTTATCCGTTTTGGCTCCTTTCCAGATCCTCTACGATTCCAGAACTTCAGGCCTTGCAATTCCTTCCATGGCCATGGGACTTATGTCAGGACGATCTCACCCTGCAGCTGACCGGGCTACGAGGTATTGCGTGGAAAGGTTGGGTCGACGACTGCGTGCTTGCGACTGAGCCTTTACCTTTGCCTTTCCTGGGTTTAATACTTCTCTGCTTGGTTGCCTGGCTGTCCTTCAGACTTCCCTTTCTTCAAGGCTCCACAAGAATCATTAGAACTTACCTCTGGATCCTGTTCTCTTCTGCTCTCTACCTTGCTCTCATCAATTTGCACGCATTTCCTGTGCGTCGGCACGTAGTGTGCTAGTCAGGATAATTCTCTGATGACCTAACAAGCAGTCTCCTCCCGTTCATTTTCCGTCACCTGCCCAAATCAAAAAGAATCCCAATGGTGTTAGTATCTAAGAATGCCTCGCTCTCTTCTCAGACTTGTCTGAGCCCTTGCTCGCAAATGAAATGCGAGCGATGTTCATCGGATCTGCGGCCTGCGCGTGCTCAGCAGTTTCCAGCCAGACCATGGCATGAAACAGCAAAAGCCATCTAAAGCCATGAAGCATCATAAGACAGTAATTATTTCAGAAGAGGCAACATACAGACAATGCAGACCGAAAGCCACCCACCAAAAACCATCACCTTCAATTTCTTGTCAACCCCAAAACGATCTAAAAGCCTAGAAACCTGCACTGCTCCTACCGCCCGTGCTCTGAAAAAATTGCACACTTTGGTTGCCGAAGCTCCTCACCTCGCAACTTGTCTGATGCAGTCAGCTCTCCTTGGTCCTTCCCTCCAGTCGAATGATCGCGCGCGCGCGCACGCGCGTGCCTTGCACAGGTTGTCTACAATCGATATTTAAAGTATTTTGTATGGGTCACATGCCGAAAACACCGGTGGCAGCAGCGTTTGCGGCATCTACCCTTTCAGACGCTTGTTGCACGGCTTTGCATCGGCATTTAGTGTTTCCTGTGGTGGACATTATGCCAAAAACACTTAAGAGCGCAGTGTTTTCGCACTGCTGAAAGTGTTTCGTGTGGTCACATGATGCAAACACTACAAACACTACTCGAAACAGTGTTTTCAGAGAACATTCATGCCCGCTCGATGATTACGTTCGTGTTTCCATTGCGTGCGAATGGCCAGAGCATGCCAGAGAGTCCACTCGCACGATGATTAAGTCCGTGTTACCAGTGCGTGCGAATGGCCAGCCGCACGTCCCCTTTTTACCAGTCTGCGTGAATGGCCAAAGCATCCGTGCCCGGACTGCGTAGGCTGAGTGCCATGGACAGAGTTGCGCCGTGCAATACGCAGATCACTGTGCTTGCTGGTTGTCACTTTGCTGCGGAAGCCTGATTTGAAAACCCTTTTGGAGGCTCTGCCTCTTCATCGCACGCAGAGCAGGACCCCCGGGACACGATCCACCGCGCTATGGCGATGTGAAGCATGATGGAAGGTGCCTGCTTTGAGGAGCACGACGCGTGGAAGGCGCGGCGAATCTTTAAAAAAAACACTGTTTGAGCAGGCTTGGTGTGTAGCCTAAACCATGAAACCATCGGCATGGACGCATTCCTTACTGTTTGGACGCGCGCGATCAAGCGACTGGCACGTCCTTGGTGCCTCGCCCCATGGAAGTAGATCGATGCGCGACAAGGGTGTCCATCAATTTACAGGCGCTGTTCTGGGGTGTAAGGAGGTTTAGGCTGAGCAATGCTGAGCACCGCCTGTGTCATCTAGTGTCCCATCTTGCACTGACTCGTGTAGTAAGGATAACAATCGCCGTCGGTGGATTCAGCGTCGGACAATGTCAAACAGCTGCTGAGCCTGGCCAGTGGGAGGCCTTCGTGAAGCATTGCCCCATTTTGCTCTACCTACTCCGCTACATGAACGTGCTAGATGTACGCTGATTGGTACATCATGTGCTGGCACCGGTTTCTTGGAGAGAGATCATACAGACTTAAACACGATATCCCGCAATTCAAGGGTGCTGCACACGAAGCATCAGCAACATTGTCCATAGGCAAGCTGCCTCATGCTCAGACAAGTGCTTGTACTTGTGCTTGACGATGTGGTCGAAAAGCTCACCCCCCTGTCAATTGCATGCCACATCCTTGCTTCCATGTGTTATCATGTGCACGGAGGAGTGCATTCGCATGAGTGCCTCGCGCTGGCACAAGCTCGTTACAGCTCCACGAGACGAGTGGGTAGATGCCTCTACCAACTCCATGACCAAGTAGAGCCACTCCTTCGTTTCGACAACGTCGAAGAGCTGCCTCAGAGAACTGTGTGTGCATTGGTTCGCGCATCTGCGTGAGCGGGCTGCGCGGATCTTCAATTACCTTGGTCGACTTTGTCAGCTGGCCTTTTTGCCACCCGACTAGCCACGGCACAGGGGAGGTTTGGGCTCTAGGTTTTGGTTTGGCAAATATTGGCTTTCGGGAGCAGACACCAAAAAACGCTACATGCACATATACACATATACACATGTAGACACACACACACTCAGGTCTGCAACAGGCCATCAATGCCATCGGTGACATTGCAAAGATCTGCAAAACAAATGTGTGAACCTAAACTGTGGTCCCGGGCACAATGTGTGAGTGTCGGAGGGAAAACAAGATGTTCGCTTCTGCTTTCCTGGCCGACGATCATGCGCCAGACGTGCAATCAAAACATGATTTGCAAGCTGCGAATTACATGCATCAGTACATCCTCTGGGAAGCAGGCAGTTTCTCCTTGGTACCTCAAAAGTTCGAAAGAACAGCATGGCATCTAATTCGCCCAAACTGCTGCGTTTAAACCATTGTCCAGCGAACACTGAAAAATTGGCAGGAAGTCTGAAGTCTTTCCAAGGTCACGGTCAGCATCGCGCTGAAGCCTGAATTGCTTTTGGAGCGCAATCTTTTTCACCGCGAACTCCTTGCGCGTCGCAGATCTGGGGCTCGAGGGACATGAGCAGACTCTGAGCCAGTCCTCGCCCTTGTGCTTCGGCCTCCAACATCGATGTACTGTTCCCTGGCCACCTCCGCCGAGCTTGTCCAAGACTACGTACCTCCCGGGATAGAGGCGCCGCGCGTTGCTGCCTCCACCTTGTCTGGTTACTGAAGCTAAGCCCAGCCGACTGCGCACGGGTCGTCGTCGGGACCAAACAAGCGCCTCTCAGCCTCGGATGGAGCATTTGGCCCTCGGCCACCTCCTTCCCCGCAGCGCCTGAATTTGGAATTAGAAAAGGCCCTGTTTGTGATCTGCTATGCGGCTATGCGCTCCTGCATCATCTCCCAGCTCAACAGCCGCAGCAAACTAATTACAACCGACAAATCATACAAAACACAATGGGTTTTCTGCGCACCTTCTAGATAAACGAAAGCTGTAACGAACTTGAGAAGGTGCCATGGAAGCTATAGGGGGCGAAATTCCGCGGGACTCACAGCCGTCTAGACTGAAAGAATCGCGTCTGCAGGAGTGGCGCCACCTCGTTATTGCTTCAAAAGCCTATGAACTCAAGGGAGGCCAGCCCCCCCCCCCCCCCCCCGTTTAGGATCTGATAAAGAGTCCCAGACGTGTTTTCCCTCAGTGCCTTACTTAGAGGTAGAATGGTAAACGACATCTCCACAGACCTAGCTTTGGTCATATGCCACCCCATAAGTAAACAGACTTTTTGTCTTGTTCAGGGTCCAATGGCCTGTTACGACAACGCTTTACCGTCAGGTACTCGGGCAGAAAAATCTGTGTCACTTCTGGTGCCTCTCACGACTGATTGGTCAGGGGTTAACTGATCGGGTTCTCTCCTCTGTGAACAAGCCCCTGGCACTAGCTCGTGCGATTTGATCTGCACTGGTCCTTGACAGGTGCACGAGCTTTGATCCAAAACAGATTATTTCTTGCCGTCTGTGTCGCTGCTGGCCTGTCATCTCTGTCGCACGCCGCTGCTGAAACCTGAATCGCAAAGACACAGGGATCGTCGTGTGTCTCGGTTTTTTTTCCGGGCCCTGTTGGCTAAGTCATTCAAAAGCATATGACCAAAAAAACACTGAGCCGACAGTTTTTCGTCGTGGTCGTCGTCGGTAGTGGTAGTGGTAGTGGTAGTGGTAGTGGTAGTGGTAGTGGTAGTGGTAGTGGTAGTGGTAGTGGTAGTGGTAGTGGTAGTGGTAGCGGTAGTGGTAGTGGTAGTGGTGGTGGTGGTGGTAGTGGTAGTGGTAGTGGTAGTGGCAGTGGTAGTGGTACTGGTAGTGGTAGTAGGTAGTAGTTGGTAGTAGTAGGCAGTAGTAGGGAGTAGCAGGCAGAAGCAGGTAGCAGCAGGTAGCAGTAGGTAGGTAGTAGTAGGTAGTAGTGGGTAGTAGGTACTAGTAGGCAGTAGTAGTAGGTATTAGAAAGTAGTAGTAGGTAGTGGTAGGTAGTAGTAGGTAGTAGGTAAGTAGGTAGTAGGTAGTCAGTAGTCGGTTGTCGGTAGTAGGTAGTAGGTAGTAGGTGGTAGTGGTAGTCGTAGTGGTAGGAGTGGTAGGAGTGGTAGTAGTGGTAGTAGTGGTAGTAGTAGTAGTAGTAGTAGTAGTAGTAGTAGTAGTAGTTGCAGCAGCAGCAGTCGTAGTGGTAGTGGTGGTGGTGGTGGGAGATACGAAGATCGAATCGCAATCGTAATCTTGTGACTAATAGAAACAGCGGTCATGATTCAAATGATGCGGATGCCAACGATGGCAATATACCACAAAGAACAGCAAAACAATAGAAATGGCAACCATAGTACATAGCTGTAGTTATGATAGTAGCTAATTCGTCATAATCGTATACATAGGAATCATAGTAGAAATTCGCATCCAGCTGTGGTCATCTGAACTGAGCGGCGCGACGAGAACTGAGTTCGATGGTCGCCAGGCCTCCACGGCCTTTGGCCAAATGCCATCGACCCTGTGACCCTACGACATAACCAGTGTGGCTCCAGGAATCAAGAATTCCAGTTCATTCCAGTTCGCTCTATGCAAGCCTTCCTCATACGCCGCTTCGGCAGTTCCTGTCTCGACGAGAGCTGCATGACAGATCTACCACACATTGCTGCTGACTTCGCAGCGGGCGCACGCCCGGCCTTTAGCTGGAGCTCCGTAGCCAGCTCCTGCCATATCTGGCCGACGCCACTTGCCATGTCAGTAGGTGCATGTACAAAACAATCAACAAATCATGCAAATACATCCATGGCGCACCCTCTCCAGAACTGTGAATATATATATATATAACACAACGTAACGTATACTTATTTCTATATAGATATCTACATATAGCGCCCGTGGGTGGGTGGGGTTTATGGGGCTTAACAAGGCTTAGGGCTTTCAAGCTTGGGGTGGCTTTGTTTGCAGCCTAGAGGGTTTTAATGATTTAGAGTCAGAGCTCAAGGTCAGGGTTTATTCACACTGACATCTGCGGGTGAAGCTCTGGGTTTTTTCTTAGGATTCTTGGCTTTCTTTTCTTGCATCGCGCGTAGCCGAAGAGTACTTTGGGGTGGAGGGAGGGGGGGGGGAGCGAGAACGCACAGCGCACAACTATACATATACATATACATATACATATACATATACATATACATATACATATACATATACATATATATATATATATATATATATATATTGTATATTGTGTATATATATATATACATATTTTTCCTTATGTGGCCCCCCCCCCCCGACCCCCCATGTAGCCACGCCCTCTGCTTCAGACAACTCGTCCGCATGGTCAACTTGCCGCTGTATGCACTGCAGAAGCAGCATTGGATTCAAACTGCAGGACAGAGTACCGCACAAAAACGATAACAAAACCAAAACAAAAATGTAAGGAGAATTCTCTGGAACCTGAACCAAAGAAAACCCAACAAAAACAAAAACACAATGCCAGGAGAATTCTCTGGAAACCGAACCAAAAAAACAAGAATTCTCATGAGCATAATTCTCTGGAATCCTGAACCAAATTAAAAATGCAAGGTGAGCTCTCTGGAAATCTAAACAAGAATCCGACAAAAACAACCCCGCCCTCCACCCCCCCCACCCCTCAAAAAAGAATCAAACAAACTCAAATTGCAAGGATCATTCTCTAAGAGCCAAAACCAATCAAAACAAAATCGCCTTGCAATTGCTTGGGTTTTGCGCGTATTTCTTTGCTTGTCTTTGCTTCGCTAATTGATGTTTTTGGTTTCTTGTTTATGTTTCCAGAGAATTCTCCTTGCAATTTTGTGCGTTGCTGTTGTTCGATTTGTTTGACCTAAGTTTCCAGATAATTCTCCTTACAACTATTTCTTGTGGTTTAGGTTTCCGAGAAATATCCTTACATTTGTTCTTGCCTATTGGTTATGTTTTTCTTGTTTGCTGTTGGTTTTCGCTATTCTTGGTTCGGGTTTCAGCCAAGTTCTGTCTGCATTTGTTGGGGTGATGTTTCTTGTCTTGGTTTTGGGTGGTTCTAGCCAGATTCTTGATTATTTGTTTTGGGCTAAGTCTAAAGAAAAAATGAAGAACCTCACTCTGTTTTGAAGTGGACATCCACCCATACACAGATCATCCACTTGGTCTGCAAGAAAACTCCCTTCTAAAGAGGTGATGTTTTTACCACGACATTAGCTTCGCTTTTCTCAATGCTGCAGAAGACGACTTCTTCACCTCCAACCATGTCTTGAAAACAACTTCTGCACCTCCTTCCATCTGTTGAAAAACATCTCCTACCCCGCCCCCCTCCCCCCTTACGAAAGAATCCCGTTCTTCAAGAGGCTTCTATTTGGCTTTTCTTCCGGTGCACGAACTAACCTTTTTTTAAAGGAAGTGCCATATTGTCTTGATGCACAACAATTTATTTGATGGTTGCTGGCTCACTAGAAAGCTCTTCTTAAGGCAGGCAACAAGCACGATGGTTTCTGAAGTTCGACTCATTCTTCTTGTACCTTGATCATAAAACCAGAGGTGGAGGAGCCTCTGCTAGACTCTCGTGCTGACCTCCTTCACCTACATTACCATATAGTTCATGTGCATAAAACATCTCTGTATATGTATGTATATATATATACAGGAATTCGGAAACGTCGGGAAGTATCATATATAGGGACCAATGCATGCTCGTGTTATATAAGTCAATATCACTTATGTTCCGAATGGTTGCAGAGTTCAGAAACAGAAATACATACATACATATATATATATATATATATATATGCACATATGCATATACATATATATATAAATACATACATATATATATATATTCTCTATGTACTTTTATATCAAGATGGATTCGTACCAAAAAAACCTGCAGCGGAGGCCTCCCATTTCTCCATGACCTGCTTCAGTGCAGCTTATCCCTACCTTCACAACACCAGACCTTCACGGCCGTGCGACGAGGCTTGATCTTACCGTCTTGGGCACGCTGTACGTCGTCATCAGTTCAGGCATCGCAGGCCTGCTGCAGCGTAGCCACACCCACTTTGGAGCACCTGGGTCACTTGTGAGCACAGAAGGTAGAACGCCTTTCGTTCGCTGACTCAGTCTGATGCCAGGCGCGAGCCTTTGGCAAATACCTGCACTGTTCGGATGCAGTCTGTCAGCAAACCTGACTCACCTTGACAACGAAAGCTGCTCGAGACCGACTAGGAAGTAGGTAGGGCCAAGCAAGGTACAGCATGGCTCATCGTTGTTCACAGAAGCAGCTACGAGATCTGGAATTAACGGCAACACAATGCAGTGCCGGAGTGGGTCACGCTGACAGTGAAAGTGTCTCAAGCCAATCCTGCACCAGGCTTGAAACAATACTGACAGGTCTCCGCCTGTGCTACAAGCCTACTACTTGTGAATTTCCAGAAGCCCCAACATGCAATCAGAATGCAATATAATATATCATGGTCTGTCCTCCAGGCCAGGAATCGGCGGAGCCCCCTTGGCAAATCTTGCCCCACCGACCGATCTTGATGCAAGAACAAGTCTGATCAGAAATGCCTGCTCCGTAGCAGTCGACGCCTCAGGCCTCTCCATGTCACAGGATGTCTCAGCAACCGCACTGGATTCGCTATGATTCGCTGCGGGCCGTGAGGGCTGTGATGGCCGCGGGCTGCTGGACCGGGCCTTGACACCACTCCGAAAGACTGAAAACATGTAAGCCTTGGAAACACTTGGGGTCTGAGTCTGCGTCCCCGAAGTCTTCTGACTGCCTACACGACAGCACAATCGCCCCATCCAACACGCACATGGAACCTGGATGATGCGGATACTGGCCTCGCCAGGGATTGGAGCCTTCCAGATGCGAGACCATGCAGAGAGTTTTGCTTCTTGCTTTCAAGATCTTCTCGCACCGCGTCCGCCAGTCTCCATTGCACACGGCAGTGCCTCGCAGCCAATCTTCGGAACACTTCGCTGGCACCTTGAGAGGCTACACATGGCCACACGGATCAACTCACACAGATTCAAGCTTCAGTGCCACGATGCCTCTAAAGAATTCCAAGGACGAGCTGAACATTCCGGTCCGACCCCAACAAACATAACACTGGAGTCTGGGCTTGTGAACTTTCTTCGTCAGAGGCCACGGAATGTGAGATGAGGAAGGGCAGCCAAGCCTGTTTCAGGGGGATGGCATCTGGAGACAGGGCATACAGGGCCATACAGGGCCTACAGGCCTTTCCCTCTACGCCCGCCTCCAGGGCATCTTTGGCCTCCGTGTCCACTGTGGCCAAGTGCCTGGTCGTGCGAACTGATGCCAGTCAATGCCAGTCGTCCCACAACCATGCGTCCAGTGGCGTCCAGACTCCCAAGCTTCGCTGTGAATTCGAGAATAGCTCCATGACTTTTCCGGGGATGAACAAATCTCTGAGCATATTTCTGAGCACATTTCTGAGCCCTCGCTCACATCCGCTGGCGAGCGTTTTTGCACCTTTTTTCATGGCGATTTGCGGAACACGAAGGCTCCGACTCCAGGAGCTCGTCATCGAAGGGCACATCAGGCAGCTCCAACTTCAAGGCGTGCCTCGTAGCAGCTCTTTCTTTTAGCATCTTGAATCTCAGTTGGAACTTGAGAAACGTTTTGAAACTTCAACGGTGCTACCCTGTCGAAGCGTCGACAGTCTTCGAGTCTCGGGCCTCAGAAGTTCCGTGGTTACCATATGCAGCCTGAAGGACAGGACAGACAGACACACAGACACACATGCATACATCCATACATACATATATACATATACAGATGTACACATCTATACATATACGCAAACATATATACACATATATACAGAGAGAGAGAGAAAGAAAAAAAAGGTCGAGACGGAGAGAGAAAGAGAGAGCAGTCGAGCAAAAGCAGTGCAAAGCTCGGCCTGGCAACAACGCCGACAACGCGAACAGAATCGACAAGCTGGCCCACAACACTCGATGAGCTGCAGACTAGCCGTAGCATTCAAACTTGTGATGCGTGCTGTGACCTAGCCTGTCAAATGCCGCTGTTTGAAGTGTAGGTTGTTTCATCATGACATGTCCTCCATACTTGGTGGTGTAGCAAGCCTGTTTCACATGCCAGTGCTAATTTTCCTGCTGCACATGGTGCATAGATGCGCATAGCCTGGAGCACAACAAACTTGTTAGGGGTGTTGAGGGGCCGCGCGGCCCTTTGATCCTTCAGCTCAGGACAGCAGTGCAATAGCCCTCTCTTCATGTGTATTCCAAAAAGTGTCGGAAGCTACTCAGTAAGCTACTCGCTGCGGGATGCGTTTCAGGACTCTGGACTCCAGGGCCGAAAAGGCTGCAAGCAGACCCTGACATGCAAGCGTGCTCAAGAAGCCCAGGCCATGTTGCAACTGGAGTAACTTCGTCTTGAAGACAGCTGGTTGGTTGTTTCTTCTGACAGACACATCTTGGAGGCTCACCGGAGAAGCAGTCACAACAAATCATGATTCATCCCGTGGTCCTTTAGTCAAGAATATCCTGGGAATGCAAGATGCTGTGGCCTTGCTTCGATTGCCTCCCCCGTCACGACATAGGCAGCTCGAGCGGCACAACCGTGCTGCCAGCACAGCCAAGTCGTACTTCTGTCCATCAACCTTATAAGTTAAATAATTCAATTTTGCCAAACTTCTTTGTGCTTCGGGTCGCGACATATTGCCCGGTTTGCCATAAACCCAGTCATCCTGAAACCATTTGCTTCTATCGGCAAGCGTGTCGCGACTGTCAGCTGAGTCGGCAGATAATTTGGGAACCAGCTGCGCGCATGCGAACTTTAGAGCCTTGTGCTCTCAGGGACATAAATTCCATACAAGTCGCACGAATAAACCTGGCCTGGGCTCAGTGTTGAACCACTGCGCCGAAACAAGGCCTTGGCCGGGCAGACATCCGATGAGTTTCTTGCAGCCTGAGACGGACGACGGCGAAGCGGCGGCGGCGGCGACACGACCACGACCACGACCACGACCACGACCACGACCACGAAAACGACCTGCTACGGTAAGCTTTGCCAGTGCGTTTGCCAGGGTGTGTGTTTCTTGTTCTGTGGGGTCACGTGCCTTTTTTGCTGCTGGTGCGTGCAACACAAAGACCAAAAAAATGCCCCTGCCCCCAAGCAGCAAAAAAAGCCCCGGTGCTCCCTCTCTTTTCGAGGGAGTTCAGCTCCTTCATGTAATTTAAGATCTTTGCAGGGCTCCAGGCTTGCGATCCAACATCTCCTTCTAGAGTTCTTTGCTTTTGCCAAGGGGCAAAATGTTGGTTTCCCTGTTGGGATGGGGCGTGTTTATTTGGCGCAATGGCGGATGCGTGTTTTGTTTGCTTTGTGCTGTTGGGGGCGTGGCCCTGCCCCCCATGCACCCCCCGCCCCTCCCCAGCACCCCCACCCCCCCCCCCCTCCCTCGGCAGATGCTGGCTGCATTGGCAAGTACCTCGATGGCATCATGAAGTTTTGACACGCTGGGGGCAGTGCTGCAATTCTTGGGCATTCCACGCCACAGACCGGCAGCTCAACCGGATGCGGAGCGCCGGAAACTCCACCTTCTCTACCTCATAGCACACTGCCTGCTATTTCCGAAGCAGGAGAAGGCGTGGTGCTTGAAAATCCTTGGCTTGCGGCCTTCTCCTGTTCGCCGCAAACCTTGACGGCAACAAGCTGTCAAAGATCCCCGAAAACAAGCAGCAAGCTGCTAAACCTACAACTTCGGCACACTTTGCCAACAATCGCGCCGCCCATTCTGTAGCAAAAGAGTATGAAGCAGGGGAGGCTGCAAGTTTAGCTTTTCACTTCTGCATACCCTTTGTTTTATCAAATAGGGGTGACGTACGGTACCACACACCGCATCAAGAAGTCACACCACTCATCGTTTTTGCGCAGGACCATGGGCCTCATGGGACAAATTGGCACAGGAAGACACTCGAACTATGTAGCTTTGGGAAGGAGGTGTTTGAATGAGTCTGATGAAGAAAGGGCGGTCAATGTCGTCGGATGCATTGGATCTCATCTCGTGGTGACTAGGATTAGGAGCCGTCAGATTCTTTTACTCTCGCAACAGTGACCCTACGCATCTCTTTGCTATCAGCAGAGCCGCACGCACGCACGCACGCGCGTACACACCCACACACAGTCACACAGTGACCCACACAGACAGTCACACAGTCACACAGTCACACAACACCGTCACACAGAGTAACACACACGCACACACGCACGCACGCACGCACGCACGCGCGCACACACACACACACACACTTTTGGACACCCCCGAAGGAGTTAGCTAGAAGGCTACAATGCAGGAAAAGGAGAAGGCGCCCCTTCTCCCATCCGCACCACGTGACACGCTCTTCGTTGGACGGGCACTGTCAAGCGCGTCCCGTCCCCTGCTTTATGGCTTCACAGAAAGAACGACCTACTTCCTTGGAACACAGGATTGCACACATACACACACACACACACACACACACACAGCTCCTTCATTGAAGTAGCTGAACTGTTTGATTTGTTGCGATCGCCATGCTCGACAAGTTTGGCTTTCCAGCAGATTTCGTTGCGGGATTGCATTAGCAGCCATTAGCAATCATGGGCAACAAACTTTCAAGGGGGTTGGCACCAAGGTTCGCAGGTCAAAGCTGCAGCCCCCTGCCCACCGCCCCGTATATAAACCCGTTCTGCGGGTTGCGGCAGGACTCGAAGGTCAAAGCCGCAAACCCAGCCGCACACGATGGTGCTCCGGTACTTGCCACGCCGAAAAGCCCCAAGCTGCCACAGGCCCATGAGCGCTTCTTTTTCAATAGCATCCTGAAGTCGAAAACGACATATCTCAAGTGAAGGAAAACTCAAGTTATGGAAGCGTCAAGTTAAATAAAGTCAGCAACTGGCTGCTGGAAGAATTTCTGCAGTTTGGAAACATCAGGTGTTGGGGAACTCAGTGTCGACATTCGCAACTACGCCCGCAGAATGCCGGTCGAGAACACACTTGGACACCCCCGAAGGAGTTAGCTATAAGGTTTCAATGCAGGTAAAGGAGAGGGCGCCCCTTCTCCCATCAGCACCACTTGACACCCTCTTCTGACGGGCACTGTCAAGGGTGTCCCGTCCCCTTGCTTTATGATTTCACACTGTAGGAGCGACCTACTTCCTTGGAACACAGGATTGCACGCCGAACACACACACACACACACACACACACAGACATCCGTCTAGGAAGGTGGATGGACTGGCCTTGCACCTGACGAACTCACTGTGGAGAGATATGGGTCCTGAGCTGTTCATGCCTGATGAATGAAAGTTTCAGTTAACATCCACATTTCTCACTTCTGCAACTGAGCTAAGCATCCAAAGCCGCTCTCCCTTTCCGCGACGCTTCCCATCCTAAGCTGGCAGGATGAATCAGATCTGACACTCAGCGTAGCGCACGGCATAAAGAGCCAAGCCGTGCTGACCTGAAGCCCTCGACATCATCCGACAGCATGCGAGGGGGCTACAGACTTAGTCTCCCCGGGCTGGGCGCCCAAGCCCTTCGAGGTTTGCTTCCTGACGGTACACCAAAGCAAGCATCTTCTGCACTTTCTGAAGCAGAACAGCAAACTAGGAGCACCTCATCGATCTCCTCTTCTGGAAGAACACTGTTCTCTTCGGGCTCCTCAACTTCTGGTGCGTAGGCATATTTTTCACTTGTGGAAGAAGTGGCTGGAGTCTTGTGTGGAGGAGCAATCACAGGGCAAAACGCAATACACGCAACGATAAACAAGGCAACTTGGGCTTGCACTGTTTATATAGGGCTTGCGGGGTTGATTTGGGCTTGTCCCCGAGACAGTGTGTCAACACCAGAACACTAGGCAAGGGGGTTCCAACGAGAAGAGTAGGCGTGCGTAGGCAGATGTTGTCCCGCAGCGCTGGGGGGCGGCGCGCGGCCGGCGCCCGCGGCCTGGACCGTGCCTTTTTCTCGAAGCCTTCGCTTTTTGAACGAAAAGGGCGCTCTCGCCTCTCGCCGTCCTCGCATTATTTCGACGTCCGTGTTCGCCAAGTACGAAACAGTCATCGCTTTTTGACGTCCGTCCGCGTTCGCGGAAATGCAGAGCTGTCGTCCGGTTTAGACATCTGTGGTCGACAAATTCGAAGGCGTCGCTTTTGGACGTCAGGGCTGGCCAAATGGAAACTGGTCGCTTTTTGGGTCTTCGAGGGTCTTACACTGTTGGGGTCTACGCTGGCTTAATGTAATTTTCGGCTTGCAGGCTGTTGGGCTTGTTTGTACTTCTTTGGTTTGGGGATGTTGTTTTTGACCTCCGCCTAGCTGACACAATCACAATCGGACGTTTTGGGGGCTTTGAGATTCAGACTTGAGGGATTTGGCATGGATGTCATCACCACAAGAGCTGCCCGCCATTTCCAAGATGAAACAGCCCGTGAGTCACTGGGTTTTGGGCACTGTCTGTCTCGGACAGATGACCTGCAGCCAGTGAGGACACAGACGGGGACAACAATGAGGTAAGCATAATTACCTGGACACTTTCGGGTTGAGAACGGCTACCTACTTGCACACCTGGCTCGGCCGACTCTGTGTGAAGCAGCTCATTCATCTGCCTCGGTGCAAACATTCCCTGGGCATTCCATATGTCTACTTGATTTTCAAAGTCTCGTTCGGGCTGATCAAAGGAACATGACTGAGTCTGCACTCTTCTTCTCCTTACGGGTTTGAATAAAGGCTTGCCCCAGGACCCGCGGTTGAGCGCGCCACACATCGCGCCACGGCATTAAGCGCAGGTGTGCATACCCCCCTGTCTTGTACAGTAATTCCAAGCATCGATCGACCCACAAAGTAGGTTTACCGGTTTACCCATGTTTGCCCAGCCCTTCGTCCGTTTCCGGCCATGGGCCACGAAGGCCCCGCGCAGAGCGCGCCCAAGTCCCAAGTCTGGTCCGTCATTTTGTCTCTTCTTCTGGACTCCCTTTCTCGCTTTCCATTTGCAAGCATATTTTTCGTCGTTTGGGTTGCAGATCAAAGGGAAAATGAACTAAGAATTTACTCCACATCAACCAAGCAGTACCCAGGGAACCGCCCCAGAACCACGCCCAGCCAAGTATCCAAGGGCAGATACAGTTGCAGAGTACCGGACTGTGCCGGAGCGTGGGGAACTGCGTGGAACTGCCCCGTTACAACGCAGAGGGAACGAGCCGAAGGAGGGCACAGCCGCAGGATGCTGCCGCGTGTGCTTCTAGAGCATGCCTCTTCAGCACGTAGGCTTGGGAAGGGTGACTGGGCTAGTTGGCACCGGCTACATGGGGCGGGTCGTGTGCATCCGAGGCAGCTAGCATTGTATGTCATCTGACTTCGGGGTCCTGATCCTTGGGGTACGTGTGCTGTACGTGTGCATCAGAGGACTCAAGAACATGCTCCAGGTAGACTACGCAGACACTTTGCAAGGAACTGTGTTTTAAGCGCGGCTTTATTGTCTTTGAGGCAAGAGGTGTCATGGACAAAAAAAGTGCATTCCTGACTAGGTTTAGGCCAACGACTTGGAAAGATCCGCAATACGATGGTCGAAGTGGGTCCCCTCCCAAATCTCTCTTCTTCTTCTTCTTCTTCTTCTTCTTCTTCTTCTTCTTCCTCTTCCTCTTCCTCTTCCTCTTCCTCTTCCTCTTCCTCTTCCTCTTCCTCTTCCTCTTCCTCTTCCTCTTCCTCTTCCTCTCCTCCTCTTCCTCTTCCTCTTCCTCTTCTTCTCTCTTCCTCTTCCTCTTCCTCTTCCTCTTCCTCTTCCTCTTCCTCTTCCTCTTCTCTCTTCCTCGTCCTCTCGTCCTCGTCCTCTTCCTCTTCCTCTTCCTCTTCCTCTTCCTCTTCCTCTTCCTCTTCCTCTTCCTCTTCCTCTTCCTCTTCCTCTTCCTCTTCCTCTTCTTCTTGGGGGAGTATCCTGGCAAAAACGTGCATTCCTTTCTCATGCGGGTTTGTTTCCGGCCCGCCCCGAATTGGGCCCGGATGTCTTATCTTTGCTCTGTCTTCTTCTTCTGCTGGGCATGAGGGGGGTCGGGCTTTGCTCTCTCTGCTTCTTCTTCTTTTTCTTCTTCTTCTTCTTCTTCTACTACGGGGCTTGGGGAACCCGAGGGCCCCCCGCGCACTGGGCGCGCCCAGGTCACTTCCAGTTTCCGTGAGACTACTGCAACAGGGCGTGTCCCGCGAGAACCAGAAAACCCGTAAGAAAGATGGGGTTACTCCGTCAGTGACACTCTGTTCCCCCGCTGGTGACACCTGCCGAGCCTAGCCAGGCACGCTGCTCCACAACACACAGCCCTCGTATGCCTTATCATCCGCTCTCTCTCTCTCTCTCTCCCACACGAATAGCCCCCCCGACTGGAGGCTGCCCCAAGGGGCGCGCCCTGTCTGTGATGCTGTCCTTCCCGTGTTGGGTGGATGCTCGGCTCGTTGGCCCGATGGGGTCGGGGTTCCGACTACCATGCTACCCCCCTCTGTGCCCCCACGTATGTATCCTGACCTGATGGGTTGGGGTTCCGACTCAGTGATAAAAACATCATTACACACACAGTCTCTCTCTCTCTCTCTCTCTCTCAGTTCACAGAGTTTGTACCATGGTAAAAGTTCCTCCAAGTCAGGCTGGTGGGTCTACAATTAGGGATGAGAGAATTCGGTGCAACTGTAGCAGTTTCGGGTGCTGAGAGGTTCGGGTTCAAGCCCCAGTTAGGTAGGATGAGTTCAGTTTAGGGCTTAAAGGCTTAAAGTCTTAAAGGGCTTAGGGCTCCTCTCCCACAAATTTCGAGGGCTCCGAATGCATCAACATCTGGACCTGTGAGTTTCATAAACTCATCTCTTCCCACTTGTTCTGTTTTGTAACTGCGGTGCATGTACAAGTTTCTCGTTCGTTCCCCCGTCCGTTGTCACCGATGTCGCTGTGGAGTGCCTTGTGCCTTGCTGCTCGGTCCTTTGCCTTGTCCCGGGGTTCATGGACAGCGTCCGGCTCGACGACCCGGACCTCGGCGGTCCTCTAGCTCTCGCGGACATCCTCACAGACCTCGATCTTTTGTTGGCTTTTGCCGCTCGTGTCTTCAGCTTTGCCCCTTGTGCTATACGTCTCCCCTATACAAGTAGGCTTCATGGGAGATTTCCACGGTTGGAATCTTGGCTTGTTTTCCCCGATCCTAGCATGAAGGAGCGTACCCATGCACGCCGGAGTCCTGAAAGTGGGTTCTAATCAACGATGGACTGTGCATGTGATGCGACATTGCGCTAGGTGTACGTAACCTGCGACTTGACCGCTTGGTCATTTTGTTCTGCACTGCTGTTGAACTTCTCGGCAGAGTTCGCGATTCGAGGTAAATCCTGCTGTCTTTCTCGCTGTCTCACCCACCTTCCTTCCTTCCCTCCCTCCCTCCCTCCTTCCTTCTCTTTCTGCGCACCTAACCCCCTCCCTTTGAAAAGGGCCGCCCGAAGGCGTGCGTTGGGGGTTTTGGTGAGTTGACCGATGCTTTGGAGGGTTTGGGACTGTAAGATGTGATGACTAGAATGACTACGAGGATCGGTCCTTCCCCTCCAGCAAGGTCACTCCTTCACCCCTCCACAGCTGTGTCGGCTTACTCGTCCTTGAGAACCTCTCTTTCTCTCTCGCTCTCTCTCTCTCTCTCTCTCTCCCTCTCTCTTCTTCTTCTGCTGGGCATGAAGGGAACGAAGCGCGCCCGAATCCGTCTCTCTCTCTCTCTCTCTCCTGCACGCTTAGCGCCCCCCGAAAGGAAGGACCCAAACTCTCTCTCTCTCTCTCTTCCTTCCTTCCGCTCTCTCGCTCGCTTTGTCGCAATCACCCACTCACTGATTGCTCTGGGCCCCTTGCGCCAGCATCTCCGTCTCGAGGTTCCTAGCATGCACAGTCAAACGCAAAGCCGCTTGGTGGTTGGATGCCAGGTCTCCGAGAGCACATGGCCATGGCACATTATGACAAGGACACAAACCGGCGGCATTCGGCGGTTGCATCTACAAATCAGGCGACAAGATACCAAACGCGGGCCTTTCGGAGAGGACGCCCTCTCTGGCCTCTGCCTCTTCTGCCTGTCCAGCGACGGCATCAAAGGGACAGTCGCCGTGTGTTTGCCATGCATGCTAGCTGCTTCCTATTCTTCCTAAAGCCTCCTCGACAAAAGGCTGCTCGCCTCAGTTTCCTCGGTCTCCTCCGTCTCAGGATCCTCGGTGTCCGGATCTTCGGTCTCCTTTTCGCTGCTGGCCTTGCTCGATGTCTTGACCTGGGAGTCCAAGCTCTAGCATCCACCAGTAAAGCTATGCACAATGGATCACAATGGCCTCCAAGCAAGAAGAGTCACATTTCCATTTCTGGACCTGATGCCAGGCAATGTTTGAACAAACCTCCGATCAATGCCATCGATGGTCCTTAGCGCCTTAGCGCGCAGTCCTGGGTTCCAACTTCATGTCTCCAGGCCAGCCCTAACTCGCAGCGAACATCAGAGAACCCTCCAATCACCCCCGCAGAACCGAACGAGCAACACGAGCCCGAAAAAACGCCATGAAAGAATCGAGATTCAGTACTAAGGGTTCAACAAACCTAGTCGAATTGTGGCTAGGGTGAGCTTCATGATTGCCGGAAAAGGAAAGCTGGCACATTCGGAGAGACAACCCGCAAGGAGTATCAAAGGCACTGATGCAGCACCACGCTGGTTAGCAATGCATTGGCTAATTGAAGCAAATGATGTTCTCATCTGTGGCCACACGCCCTTGAGTCAAGAATGAGCTCCCTGACATTCGGCCCCCTGATTCGGGGCTGTAAAGAACCACGGCGCCACTTGCTGGTTCCTTTTTTGAAGAATGGGCTGAGGCCGACGGTCATCTTGTTTCCCTTTGTTGTCCATTTTCTGCACACTTCGAGTTGTTTGTTTGCCACCCACCTAGCCACGCTTAGGCTTTGGTCGGACAGCGATGGCCATTCTCGTGGATATCGTGGATGGAGGGCTTGTTGAGAATGGTGATGCTGACACTGATGCTTCACATGGACTCGCGCTGAAGCGCTTTCGAATCAACCGTTGTCCCGGTTTGGCGAGCGGGAGCCCATGCAATTGCAGGGCCTGCGGCCCCTGAGGCTCGTAGTAGGGGTTGGAAGAATCCTAGACCATCCGGGATCCAACATGCTTGCAGAATAGTGAGTTCAACAAGGCTCTTGACCAACGCTTGCGCTGTAGAATTAGCAAACAACAACCCCACGAATTCTTCTCCTTATCCCTGCCTCTGGGTCGGGCATCAAGAGACAGTTGCAAAGCTCAGTGGCCTGCAGTGGCGATGAATGGCGGTGAAGTGATGTGAAGTGCTGGAAAAGAAGCAGTGCCAAGCAGAACCGGCGAAGCGTCCTCGCCGGACAGCGTCTCTTCCATGCTCCTGACAACAGAAGTCTCATCATGTCTCATCCTTTACAGTAATCTGACGACTACTCGCTTGCTGAAGCTGCGACAGAAAGCGACCCGAAAAGCATCGCGAAGACCGCAAGGAGCGCTGTGCAAGAGGTGCAAGAGGTGCAAGAGGTGCAAGAGGTGCAAGAGGTGCAAGTGTGCTGAGGTCACTCCCGAGCCTAACCCCAAAAAGGCTCCCCCCCCTCAAAGATACATTAGGTCTGTGTGTTCCCCGGGGCCAGAAAAATGTATCCAGGCATGCCTGGGCCCAACACTCTGTGTTCAACATTGTTCAACATCAGGCTGTGAACTTGAGGTTTAGGAATGTTTGGGATTCATATGTTTCTGTTTGGGGTGTGGGGGGGGAAGGGGGTTTCAGGCTGGCAGCACTGCGCAAGACATCGGACAAGGACACCTAGAGTTGGACTGTTTCTCCTCCAGGCCTAAGCCCCCCGAAACCCTAAGAGCCTTGGGCCCGGCTCGCTGGAGGAACAACGGGCACAGAACCAAAAAATGAAGACCTTGATCGAGTTCTCGATCTGTTTGGGTCATCCTTGCACATGGGCCACGCTACCAGCCTGCAGTTGGCCCGTCCCGTGATTGGGTTTGTGGCTTTCGGGCTTGTTGGCTAATGTTTCTTGAGCTTGCCACACAGCCTGCTCAACACGTCCCCCAAAATGCCCCTTCCGGATGCCCTGGTCGCACCCCTGAGCGATCATGGCCGCCAAGCGAGGCGAGTGGACAAAACAAGACAAAAGCATACACCAATTTTATCAACCATGCCAACCCCCCAGGATACATTACAGCTGCCCCCCCCCCCCCTTTGGTCCAGACCAGGTACCCGGACCCCCAGGATACATTAGTTAGGTTAGGGTATCTGAGGTCCTGAGGCGCTCCATGGAGGTCAGGCACTCGCGGAGGTGCCGTGGAAGGCGGCAGGCAATGTGGAGTGGAGCAACACCTCAGCAGACAGACATTTGTGGCATGCGGCGTGCGGCAGTGATTTTCGCAACTCCGTGCAATTCCCCCATGCATCTGTCATGGCAAGTGCGAGTGTGAATTGGCCTGCCTGTACATGCCTTGAGGTTGTGTCACGATGCATCGCAGACATGGCACCGTCTGGGGGCAGTGTCCCTCGAAGGAACGCAGCATGGAGAAACAGCCGGCCGCCAGTGACTGCAGCAGAGCTTGTCATGATGGAGCATGCCGGTGACCACGGCAGCGTGGGCTTCCACGATCTTCCACAGCATGCAGCACCAGCCTTGAGAGTCCTCCTTGAAATGCGAGGAACTGTATTTCACGTCGCACCTGAAATCGAGGTTGATCCTAGCCGGATGCACCCTTCATATTGGAAATACCTGAGTAGATCCTCGCTTTAGATTTCAGCGTCCGGCACAATGGGATGCCCCACGGAGGCCTGAGGATTGGATGCTGCGACAGGCTGCGAAGACGTAGAAGCGACTGGGACTCGCCGGGACTCGGGCCATGTGAAGCCGGATCTGAGAAGAGGCGCTTGCTGAGGCTTGCACTGCTTGCACAAGAAAACTTTTTGCTGCTAATCCCAAGCAGTCCTAAGCACTATGCCTGATGCTGACGTCCATGATCGATCTGGACTTGGACCAGGCTATATTCAGTCGAGCCTGGCAGCATCAACTCCAAAATGAAAGAGTCTCCACATCTTGCCAGATAGTCCAGCCTGCTGACGTCTGTTGCCGGAAGTAGCCCAGCACACGGTACCTACTAGAACAGTTCTACGTTGAACTTCTTCAAGACAGTTTGTTCAATCACTTCAGCCGAGCACGCAAGGCCTTCCAACTATTCAACCCCCCACCCACACCCCCCCCCACCCCCCCGGCATCATGCTTTAGCCCCCGAGGCCGAATGTTCGACTCCTCCCCCCAGCCGCCTACCCATACTAAATCAGAACTGTTGAGACGAAAGCTAGAGGAAGCGCGGGGACGCAGACAGGCTTTCTGGTGCGGCATGCTTGGACTTGGGCAGATTTGACAAATAGTACTTGCAAGATAGTACCAAATACTTGTGGCCCTTATGGTCAAGGACTCGTACTTGATGGAGGTCTGGTGTTGCCAGCGCGTCAGATTCCCCGCCACCCAAGGTCTGCACCGCATGTGTGTGTGTGTGTCAAGGTCAGCATCGCTCGGCATTTGCGAGTGTCTACCCACGCAGCTTTATTGGGGCTTTCCCACCCGCACGATCTTTGGGGGAAGCGATTCTGTCACTGATGTCCTTTTTGCCTTAACCATCCTAACCTGTGCCCAAGATCTGGTGGCTTCTGTGGCCGGTGAAACCGAAAAAAGCAACCGCGACCAGATGGTCCGGCGGCCTGAGGCCGCAACGCGACCGCGAACACACAGAAACGACAATTTTTTTGGTAAACTTCGAAACTTGAACTCTTCGCATCTCTCAGATCCGCCAGAGGCCGGTGTGACTGCGGCGGAAGTCTGGAGTGGTCGGCTTTGGCGTCTTGATGGGAGCCTTCTTTGCTTTTGGCGACACCTGCCGAGGACAGCTCTTCTTGCTCTGTGATCAACTCTTACGACGTCTTACGATCTCCGACAGTCTTCTCATGTCTTCTCTCTCATCGTCTCGGATCAGCATCGTGCTGGCGCCAGGCCTTGGCCATAGAAGACCTCCGGAGGCCGGCAGTGGCTCTCAAAAGGGGAAGTGCATGCATTGCACTTAAGCTTGACCCCGCAAAAGGCCTTCCAGCATCCGTGAGCAGAGTCCTTGTGCGCACACGGGCTTGAAGAAGTGGTGGAGACATGAATGAGGTGCAAATGCCGGCAGTGTTTACGCACATGGTTTCCGTGGCTAGGCTATGCCAGTATGTAAGAAAAGGAAAATGATGCGCCGGCTGCAACTGACCCGCAGGACGTGGCCTCGCCTCGGCACGCTGGGCGGCCGTGACGGTGCCACCACAGGCTCTTCGGAGCCAACGCTCGTGGCACCTAGGCGGGCCGCAAGTGTCACAGGCACTTTTCTCAAACTTGTCTATGGCAACTGCTGTGAACTATCAAATAGGAATGTCGGGCAACCAAAGAAAAAGCTGCAAGTCCTGGCTCTGAGGCTCTCGGCCCACTGAACCCTCGCGGAGGATTCCAGGGACAGCCGGCACATCCAATGCTGGCGCCAGCTGTGGCGGGCGCCGCAAGGAGCCAGGCCTTGAATGCGCGAGGCTTTGTTACACGAAAGGCTGGTGGCCAGGATTGGCCACTCGACACAAACGACGCATGGGCGCTTGACGAACGGCAGATATGCATGGACAGAACTCAGTCCGAGCTGGCCATGTCCCATCATATTCCACTCTGTTCCGCGGCATGAACAAAACCCTTGATAACCCTTGTCTCGAGCTCAAGACATCACAGGATCCTCTTGATTGAAGCGGATGTGAGCCGGAGCCTGCAAGCTGTTGCGATGTCCGAAAATACCACATAGGTGGCGGAACAGAACTGCCTGGGTAGTTGTTATGTATTTTGCGTTTGCTTTTGAATCGGCACCCAAGTGCCTCACGCTCCTTTCGCGCCTGCTTCATGCCGTGCTTGCCATACCTTCGCCACAAGTTCCGGTCGGCTGGCCACACTGCAGAACATGCAGGTGTGTGTGTGTGTGCGCATGAACACATTTCGTTATGTATATACACATGTATTTTGCCAGGCAGGGGGGCTGATCTCCATGTATAGATATGGTTAGGTGCGTGCCCCCCCCCCCCCCCCCCCCCCCCCCCCCCCCCCCCCCCCCCCCCCCCCCCCCCACTCCCCGCCTAAACCCAAAACCCTCACGCAAAGTCGCCCTAAACCCTAAACCCTAAACATTCCCAATATTTTGGTGGCCGTGGACGCCAAAACATTGAGACCTCTCGAAATTCTGGCACTGAGACTCACGAAATTGTGAGGTCCCAATGTTTTGGGGCTTGACACAACCTCGAGAGGTCCCAATAAAAACAAAGAATCAAAGCAAACTCATTCCACGTCCCAACACCTCGAGAGGCCCCAACGAAAGGCCAACCCCAAACGTCCCAAATTGGGAAAGTACATGGCAGTCATGGCAGTACAACATGTGGGTTTAAGCTTGTACTTCGTGAAAATGGAGGTTGCTGCACGTGCGCGGTCCCAGCAGCTGTCCTCCATTATGTGCCATGAGGCCTCTGCCATCTCTGCCTTCAGCTCAACAAAAGCTTATTCTTCTGAGCCAGAAACTAACAAACAAACTCTGCTTTTCTTAATAAGGAATGACAAGGCTCCTATTGGTTGAAAGCCCTTAGTAGCTTTAGGAAGACACAAGAGAGCCTTCGCTTGTGTCGATGAGTAGAAGGCAGTTCTCGACAGTCGTACCTAATGAGAAGATGAAACTTTTTGTTTTGAAGCTGGACCTTAACCAAGAAGAAGTGCTCACACACTTGGCAAACATGAGAGCCCGCCTTATGTTTCATATCACAGAGCCGCCCAACTCCCTGGAATACGATTTCAAGATCTACTTGATTTGGTTTCTGTAGTGAGAGAGGCCTTCTTCTTCTCACGAAAAAACGACGGCGCCCCTCTTGCTTATAACATTTGTCCCGACAACGAAGGGAGCAGCTCTTGCCTGTTAAATACCAGAGCCACCATCCCTTGTCGGAGGAAAGCCTATGTGTAAGTACATAGTAAACATAATAACTTCCTGTTTTATGTCATCATGAACTTTTCGTTGTCAACCATGCATTCGAAACCTTATTTACCGGTACGACGGATTTCTTTCGGTCTCTCCTCCCAAATGAAGCAAAAACCGTCTCTCTCCTGAAAGCAGCCAGAACCGTAGATGCATCGGGGGCCGGGGGGTAGCTTCTATACAGATGCAGGAATATACACATATTCAGAGCTATAAAGACAGCTTCTTGGTTTACATAAATATACATATATATATAGATAGATAGATGGATATATACGTATATAGATATACATATATATATATAGATAGATATACATATATATATATATATATATATATATATATTTATTTATGTATTTATTTTTAGTATTAAAATTTATTTCTTTATATTTATATTCCTACATATAATATTTTACAATGCGCGCGCGTGTGTGTGTGTGTGTGCTTTTGCTATTCCAGATATGCGCTTTGTGTAACTACTAGTTCCTATGACCTGCTTCCGATCCCGTGTGGCTCACCAGTCATACATCCGGTCGGCGTGCTTGACCCGGAGCTCGTGCTTGCTGACCTGGAAAACTGGCCCCTGTCCACACCCCCCTGTACGATGACGCTACAATGTCCGGACGACAGCGATCCCCAAAACTTCAAATCTCAGAAGTCGGAGTATGTTGAGGAGTTGAAGCCTTCCCAACAGTACATGTACACCAATGCAGCTGCTGGGATAAGAAGGAAGAAGGGCTGGTCAAGACGATGGTCGTGTAGAATGCCCCTATGATACTGATACCAAGTGAAGCTCAGGCGCTGCACAGCTTGCATGATATGGAACAGCCAAAGAGTTGGCTGTTTTAAGATGAGCTCACGTCCTTCATGCCGTGTGACCCACCTCTTTGAGCCGATCATCGAGGGCGAAGTTTGTGTCTTGCATCAATCGCCTGTCAAGCAGGGTGCCCACTTGAACAATCGCTGATTCAATCGTCGCTGTAAAGACACCTTGAGAAAACCGAAGCTGATGTTACACCTCATTTGGCGGTCCATCTCGTGGCGCCAGGCCAGGCGTGCATCCACCGAGGGCCCATCAATTAGTCCTCGAGCCGACAGTTGAGTACAATGCATGACAGCACCAAGATGCACCTTGTAAAGAACGTGCAGCCCGACGCATACCGAGGCACCCGTACTCGTGACGGGCAATGGACGGTTGTCCTGCCAAATATGGTCGCGAAGCATGTTTGTGTACTGGCGACAAACAAACAAATGCAGTTCGGCGCGTTGCCAGTCTTCTTTGCTACGCAAGGGGGCAAAGACAGCAACACTGCAAAGGCTAACCGGAGCCGAAACAGGACAAAGGAGCAGCCCATTCCTAGGTTTGCTAGAGAAGCGTCTCCTCGAAGGCTTCGGCTTGCCGCAGGATCTCAACCTCCTCGCGGAATTCCTTCAGGCGAAGTCGAGATGCGAAAGAACTAAGAACTCATAGGGAAAGCTCACGTTATCATAGCTCGCTTAGGAAGCCAGCGGCCCATTTGCGCTCGAAACAATGCGGCTGCCCCATTTTAAACGAGCCTGGAAAGAAGGACACTTCTGAGCCCCTCAATTTGACTTTGGTAGCGCTACATGATCCTGAATGTTCATGCCCGCATCCTGGCCCTTCCGTTGCGCAATGATACTACAGAAAAAGGTCACAAGATCCGAGGAAGACAGCGCAAGTCCAACAATCACTGAGCTTTCATGGACCTAGCTGATTCTAAACGCTCACAGAAAGCACTCGAGCCAAAGAGCAGTTGCATCTCGCAAATACCCTGCCTGCGGCAGCTCGTCTAAAACCCCACGCCGAATGTCTGCTGCCTGCACAAGACATGCCCGAGACTGTCCAAACTGCGTTGATCAACCCGGTGAATCGCCTCAACACGTGCACGCCAAAACGTCGGAAACCCAGTTCACCGTTGCGTCCGGACGCCCTTATGTTTCTGTTATCTTGTTGGCCCCATCTAAGGGCTTTTAGAGGATCCCAGTAGGCGTTTTGGAGCTAATTCTTTGAGCTTTGAGTCCTTTGCGCGCCCGTTTCGTTTATTTGGATTCCGGAAGAAAGGGCCCGGAGACTTGCCTAAGCTCTAACTCAGAGCATTCGGCCCATTAGGCCCATGTATGCATGGACCTTTGTTGCAGACAGCGCCGTAGGGACTCCTGCACTCACTACTCACTTCTTTTTACGCTGCATGCATGCGCACCAGGCATCGCGTCAGTGCTCTCTCTGGTTTGTTCAGGTCTCGCTTCGGGCACTTTCGGCACAGGGCAGATACTGGCAGATGCTTCGTCCAAACCTGCGGTCTCCGCACGGTTTTATCTTTGCCTTTCCTTGGGTCGGAACCTGCTGGACATGCTTTGGGGTCTGTGGTTGCCTTTGCCAGCGAGCCTGTATGGTTCAGACAGGCTCAGAGCATTTGTTTTGCCTGTGGTCTGGGCGCCCGTTGTCTGGGCCAGCAGCCCCTCCAAGGTCTCGGTTTCCACATTTCAGCCAGTCCTCCAGCTTTGCAAGTGAAGGCGTTGAAGGGCTACACGGCTGGAAGGCTCCAAAAGCAGAAGGGTCCCAGATGTGCAAGGCTGGAAGGGAATCAGAAGATCGCAACGTATCGCGGTAGAATCGGAAAAAAGGCGATGTCGATCGGTCGCGTGGACCAGACTTTCATGAAAGCCGGGGTCTTCGGAATCTTGCGCGAACCTGCCGTACCCCGACCTGTTGTACCTCACATCTGACTCATCTGACCAATGCCTTGTGGAGGCTTCATAGTGTTGGGTTCCAGCGACTGTATTGTTCGTTGAGTTCTTCCGTGGTCTTGCCTTCGGTCGGGCCTACACTGCGGTCTGCATCCCTGCACTGGCGCCGACCCATGCTGAGAACGCCCACAGCATCTGTTCGTTATCGCATGTAGCAAGCAAACATCCGTTTGCTACTGGGCCAGCTGGACAAGCAAGGGTGGGAAACTCAAAGGAAACCCTACATAAAGACCTCGAACCTGCACAGAGCCGGAGGGACTGCTGGGCAACCCCTGGCAGTATGACCTCACGCTCAAGGTTCAATCGACATGAAAGATATCGGCAGCGCCAGCGCCACGCCAGGGTGGGACAAATGCATTTCCTCTCCGCCGCAGCGGATGTACAACACGAACAGGCAAGTCGCAAAGCAGATGTTGAAAGTATGAAGTAATGACGTTTCATGCGTGTTCACAGCATGCACTCACCCGAGCCAGCATAAGACTGTATGTTGGACCTGCTTTAGTGTGTTCCACCCCCCCTCCCTCCCCCTCTAAACAGTCGAAGCTGGTTTTGGCTCTCTTTAAACGGTCCAAAGGCACGCTGCGCGAAATTGTCTTGCGACACCTGGACGATCTACTTAATTGCGGACCCACTCCTGTACTCCCAAACAGTCACAATGGCCTGAATAGCCCTGCAAAACTGACTTTAAAGAAAGGGCCCTCGCTAAAGCAGGTCCAGCATTAAGAAGCGCAACGCTTGTTAGTTGTTCAGAACCTGTACCCAAAATGGCCATGCAGGCAGGTTCCCTGTATAGTAATAACAACCCCCACGTGACCTCTTGAAGGCGGCCATCATGCTCGTGGCCTCGGCAGGTACGGAAAAAATTGGCCAGCTCCCCCTCATCAGCTTCTTCCCCCACACAAAGGGGCTTTCTGAGTTCACCACTGCCGACGAAGTGCACCATCTCACGCATCGCTGGATCCGAGCCTGATTCTGACTCTGGAACACAATAGAATAGATGCTAGTAGACATCCGAAGATCCTGCCCTTGACAAAATCACAAGCCGGTCCCGACTGACTTCGCATGTGGCAGATGCGACTGAATTAGGACCCAAGCCAAGTGCTACCTGGCAAGGGGCACGGCAAGGTCTACGCATCTGCATCTGAAGCAGTGTCTCGGAAGGAAGAAGGACAAGTGCCCGGCACTGCGTCGGCGAATTGCAGTCATCGCTGGGCACGCCTGCCCATCTCGCCAGCACGTGTAGAACACACACCACGTGGAAACAAGCCTGGCGCTCTGATAAGACGGAAACCATGAGAACCGCGTTGAAGCCTCCTCAAAACGGCTTTACAGACTCCTTCCTGATTCATTTCATGTGCAGGCCCACACAACTGGTACCAAACTGATTCCATTCACAGGCATCTCTCTTTTCAGGTCCTGGGCGTCGCCGTTTGGCGTCCCTTTGTACGGAGAGCGGCTCGGGCCAAATGCCGATCCAACCAAACACCAGTGCGAAGTCAATGCAAAAGTCCGCATGCACATCTCAGCACTGGTTCTGACAATTATGACATTTGGATGCGTGTGGCACTGACGCCTTCACAGATTGAAGATCGAGATTTGAAGGGGTGATTTCATGTCGCTGGTACTTGCGACTGGGCTCGGCATACCTTCGTTTCGGCACACCGACAGTGTCCCTAGATTGGCTCTGAACTTTGGCATGTCCAACCACAAATGTGGAGCCGGGCTCGTCAAGAGTAATTAAACTGCCTTCCCGCGCAGCTGCAAGGTCTCCCAGCCTCGTCACAGCCACACGTCCGGCTGTGGCACAGGCTCCCAATGGCCTCAGATTCAGGGCGTCGTCCGAGCTTCGGATTCGGAGAAAGCTTTGAGTTTCCAGGCTTGTCTGCGCTGCTGATCGCCAACGGAATGGATAAGGCCCCCTGATTCGTTGCCAATTTGCAAACAAGAATGTGCAGAGCGTCGTCGCATGTCTCATGGCATCCAAGCTCCGGCCAATTTAGGAGCATCGGCACGATGGCAGCACTCTTGCATTTGCAGCTGTAACAACTGCACCCTCGCCTGAGGCGGATCCACGATACCTTGAGCATCAGTGAAGGCTGCGCAACTAACTACCGTGGCAAGCGACGTCAATTCGAGGTAAACTCTGCAGCCTCTGCACAGACCAATGTACTGCTTGACCTCGAAATATGCTGCGAACCGTTTGCAAGTTCTGTGGCCCACGCTGTTCAGTCCTGATGGCTTGAATAAGGTCGGCACCAAGGTCCGGCCAGAGATCTGCAAACAAACGTGTCGAAGAGCCTTGCATCTCTCAACGACTGACTAAGTGACTAAGTGTCCCATCAAATCGCTCAAAGTCCCGCTGCCCCGTCCCTCACATCCTCCAGCCCCAGGATACTGGGTACAGTAACATGTCATGAGGCATCCGGCCGTGAACGGCAGATCAGACAGGATAAGCTTCTGGCAGTGCGAGACCTTCAGCAGACACCGACCGGCGACCCCAGCGACGTGCGTGATTGACTTGAGACGTCTTGACCATCTGGGCTCTGGGCTTGGCTACAATCACTATCCCACTGGTACCTCTGTCTAGCCGATGGCATGGAGCCGCAACTGGACCTTGAATGAAGAGTGCATGAGCTGCCTTCTACCCAAAGCCAACGCCAAGTGAACACCCTGAGCCTGGAGCCACTGGAATGCCTGCACTGACAGCACAACTCGGCAGGCTGCCTTGCATTCTTTGCCTCTTACTCATGCTTCACCTAGGTCAGTAGACTGACCCGCAACATTGCAATGGGTGACGCGCTTCTTCCAAACGTAACGAATCAGATTGCCATGGACCTGGCGAATTGACATTGCAAAGGATGTGGCTGCGCTGTTTGCATCTTTGCCTACAACTGCCAAGATATCATATTGTGCTCTTATACGAGTTCAAAGTAAGTTGTGACATGTGACATTGTGGCTCTGGGGCTGCCTTCTCAACTGCAATATGAATGTTTGGACACTCCAATGCAAACCGCCACTGGCCGAATCGGTGAGGGACTCTTGATGCTGCAAAACACTCATAATCCGGCGCAGCTTCGCGCCAAGGGCAAGGCTTTAGTTTGACAATTTATTGCTGCAGTAAGCTGTTGATAGACCAGCACCACCCGCCCAAGTTAAGCAGACGCGCATTCTTCCGGGGACTACCCGGCTACGCGGCTACCCCCCATGTCCGGCCACTCTCAGTGCCCACATTTTGTGTTTGCTATTCATAGAGAAACTAACAAATCACGCCCTTAGAAGGCTCGCGGAAACAACTGCCTGCCAACATTTCTCTTAGAGACACGCCCCACCGCCCATTTTAAGCAGGGAAAGTACAGACCAAAGGAGGCCCCACACCCTGGTCATCCCAAGGGTACCAGGGCACCACCTAGAGTTGAAGCCACAAATTGAGTCAAACCACATACACTTGACTTTCCAAGACCAGGGGCACATGAAGGATGCAGGGGGCCGTGGGAACCTTTGCGCAAGCCAAGAAGATTAAAAGGTGCTGTCCGGCTGGTCCGGTGCCGCATGCGTTTGGCTTGTTTTCGCTCACGGCCATGGCGGGCGTGCGCTGTGAAGCCCTCACAAGGAATCGCCCAGCTTGCCGTGATGAACATGCCGCGCACCCCTTCCCACTGCGGCGTCGAACATGTGGCCCAGCCAGAGGGCTTGTACATTACCTGCATCCAGGCTTATTGACTTCTGAATCCTTGACCTCACGATCATGAACCAATGCTCTGTAGACTCTGTAGTAAGTTCCGGGGCCAGAAGATCAGAACACGGTAGGTCCTCAGCCAGATACAACATACATAATATGGAGAGAGAGAGAGAGAGAGATATATATATATATATATATCTGGGTAGACACAAGTATAGACACATGCTTCACACCTCTGATGTCATCAGATTTACGACGGCTCCTGGAGGACACACGGCTGCGCACCGGATCCCGACACCTGAAGTTGTGCTCGGCGGGCGTAGCTGTGGAGTTGTCGGGTTCTGCTCCCTTTCTCCTGGCACTGAGCTCACTGCGCAAAGGCCTCGCCCGGGTGCAAAGTGCTCCGCACAGATGAAGCGCTGCGATGCAAAGGGGGCATGCGCAGTCAGGACAGCCAGGCTCGGTGGCAGTCCACTCAAGCGAGCAAGCACCCTAGCAGCAGCAAGAAGCATCGTCAGCGATGCTCTGATAAGGCCACGCCCACTACTGGCGCGCGGCGCGCAGTGTAACAAGCGCAGAAGGGACAATGAAAGTCCAACCCGTGCACCTTTGGGTCACTGGAATCGGCAAAGGGCTGCAGCAACGGCCTGGCGCGAGGTCGCTCTTGCCGGAAACTCTTCAAGCATGGCGTGGCTTTCTGATTAAGCTGCAACAGCGCCGCACACTCTTTTGGGCCCTGACTCCCAGCGAGACCTGTGCCAGCGCTCGTCGGTCACTTCAGGCAGCGCTCCTGGCACGCGACAAGCTGAAATCGCCAGAAGCCCAGCAATTTCACACATTGTCGATGTCGGCTGCCCAAGTGCCGGAATTTTCAGAAGCTGCCTCTACATCATAATATCAGATCAATGCAGCGGTGAACCGATAACCAGATTCAAAGCCCAAGCCCACAGAACACCACCAGCGGAAGCGGTTCCCATCAAAAAAACTGCGATGCAGACCCGCACCTTGAAGAATGTGGGACAGAGCAGAAGCTTCCGAAGCCGGACGTCCAGCTCCTTCACCTTTACTTCCCTGAGACAGGAAACATTCAAATTTGGAGCTGTGCAAGAGCGGATATGCGTGTCTGAAAGCAAGGCGTCACACACTTCATTCACAACAGTTCCACCTGACAACATCACAAGTGTTGCTGTACACTAATTGGGGAAGCGGCGAAGGCTCTGCATTTTTCGGCAGCCCCGGAAAATGAATGCGCTCGGGACTCTGCAGAAGGGAACTCTGCAAACGTGTCTGATCGTTTCTGCACGAAAGCCGCGTCATAGGGCAGCGAGCTAGTTCTGGCGAAGAGAGAGTTGGCTCCTGTGTGAGCTCAGGCCGCCCATCATGTCGTGGTAAGGGCAGCACATGGCAGCAAGGCGACTGCCTTCAACAGTCCTTCAACCATGGCCTGGGAGCGACCATTCTACAATTCGGGTCCCACCACTCCTTGTGAGTCTCTGTGAGGTGGAAATCTGAGTTTTCGGATCGGCACCTGCCGGCTTGCCGGCCATGGGTGACCAATCGAAATGCGGTAACGGTGACGACGTTTCTTGAAGCCGTGGGTCTGCGAGGTTGGGAAGCTCTGCACGGGCCCCGGCGACCTTAGAAGATCACGAGAAGATCCTTGCTTGTGGATCCGCGGCTCGGAGAAGGAGGCAGTCGCCGTACTTGGGGCCAGGCTTCGGCTTTAGTAGCAAGGCAAATGCACGTTTGGTCAGACTGACAAAAACCGTTGTGCATGCGACCGGAGCTGGAATGGTCTGGGATGCCGAATCAAGACAGGTCGGTCATGATTGGTTGACTGCCTGTTTGAATTTGCTTCGCCTTTATGAATGCCGTGTGTGGAGGTATGGACGTGAATGCCACGAATAAATCATTGAGAGGACGAAGAGTGACGACAGCAGCTTTGGGATGCATGATCCTGCTTCGATAGGTATTGATCCTATGTCATACAGTGCCTTATCGCAGCACTACGTACATAATTCTAGCTGGTTTGCTCAGGCCGCACCTCGTTGACTCATTTGCGATGCAACGCAGCCCGCGCCAGCAGATGAGAACAGAACAGATGTCGCACAACACTCTAACGCAACGTCAGAGCACATGAGGCAAGACACAACAAGACATTGGAAGGGGAAAGGAGAACATTGAACATCCAAAGCTCATTCCTTTCTCTGGGCAGGGGTGTGTTGTGTGCAGACGAGCCGTAGTGTCAGTAGTTTTCAAGATGATGATGGATCGGTAAGCCATAGGTCGTGTTTTGTCGTCCTGTTGGCTGAGACGGAAGACAACACTAGTCCTACCGGAATCAAGAATGCTAGGTCTACCGTTCGCGAGGGTCGTACGGCCTTACGGGGCATGGCAGCATGCCTCGGCTCACTCGGCTCACTCTCCAAGTTACACCGGAGGATTTTTTGGAGAGACTGCAAACAGAGCGCGGAATGCAGACGATGCCGGGACATACCGCATTACAAATTGCAACCAAAGAACCACTTGAATTATGCTCTGCTTGTTGTGACTTAGCCATTGTTTTTGTGCTGTCCACATTAGTGGGCATGCCTATTTCGATGGTGTTATGCCGTCCGCGGCCTTAAGCAGCATCAGCAACAGTCGACCACCTGCCAGCTTCAGGAACGAAAAAGCACTGCCGAAACCTGCTCTGTAATCGTGGACTGGACAAGGCATGCTGGCATGCAGGTTCACTGCCAATCGCAGTGGCCCCCCGCTGTTGTCGTTCGCGTTGCTTGAAGACGTCTCTGCCTCTTCGGGCGCCTGCCGCAATTCCCATTCCGTTGGCACACAGGTTCTGCGGATCTCTTCGTGGGACGTGTACAAAGCAAGGCAAAACCAGCACAGCACATCAGGGCTGTCATATTTTGCACGGAAACCTCTCAACTACAATACTTTCGTGCGCAGAAGTATTCAAACGCTTAGGGGCTTCAAGTCCAACGGTTCCCGTGGTTCCCTGACACGGCCATACTGCGACTACTTCTTTTCATCTTAAGTCAAAGTAAGAAGATGTTGCGAAGACATATGTAGTTACATATCTCAAAAAAGAAGGTAGAGATGTTCGCTACCCGCTATGCAACGCAACACGCGGGCCCATGGAATGCAAGACTATGATAGATTATCGAAGCCTACATAGTTCTCAATAAATCTAAAGTAGATAGTAAATACTCAACAATATATACCCACATATATATATATATATAGAAAACATATGTATTTGTGTGTGCGCGGGTAATAGAGTATACAACAGATAGTATATTATATGAAATTTAGAATGTAAAACAAATACTATGTGATATATAGAATATAACAAGTAATATTTGAGATATACGTTGTACATTCTGTTGTACGTAGTTGTAGTCTATGTTATTCTAGCTAAGCCTAAGAAGAAAAACCTAAGCCATCTAAGCCTTAAGCAGCTCTTCGCCGCTTTCCGCCGCCCCCGGATTTACGGACCCCGACAGCCTACGCAACGCAACCTTCCGCAACGACTTCGCGGACATATCGCCACCGGCAAGACATAGCTTGTGGAAGAGTGCCCCCGTACGCGCTAGAATGATTTTAAGACCGCGTGGATTTCGGGGACAACCGTCACATGCTTGATGATTCATGCCGATCTTGAAGCACAATGAAGCAACAGACTGTGCACAAAACTCTGGTGCCTGTCTGCACATTCTGGACCCGGGGCTAAGTCTGCTGGTGTTCTAGTCCCCTCAGTCATGCCTTGGCTCATGTCATGCCATCATGCATGCCCGCTCCAGCGCCTTGGGGTCACTGGAATCGGGAAAGGGCTGCAGCAACTGCCTGGCATGACAATGGTCGCTTTTGCCCGAAACTCTGCATGGCGCTTCAGCTGCAAAAGTGATGCACCTGTGCACTCTTTCACTCTTTCCTGTGCAATCTTTTGGGCCCTGACTCCCAGCGGGATTTGTGACAGCGCTCGTCGGTCACTTCAGGCAGCGCTCCTGGCACACGACAAGCTGAAAGAGCCAGACGCCCAGCAATTTCTCACACTGTCGATGTCAGCTGCCCAAGTGGCGTGACTTTCAGAAGCTGCCGTTACATGATGTCAGATCAATGCCGTGGTGAACCGATAACCACGCTCCGACGCTTTGTTCAGTCACGCGGCAAGAGCGACAGAAGCTCTTGGGGTTGGAAGAACAAAAGGAAAACAGATGCGCTGATGTTCTTGCCCGTGCAACAAGTCCGTCTTTTTACGCGGGGTCGGATGGCTAAAACCCTAGTACGAGTAGCTCATGGTACGAGCCCAGACAACACCGCGTGCTGCATTTCAGGGAGCCTATGCTGGAAACACCACACAGGCCATGCCGGAAGAGGTCTAGAACTGCGCGCGAACAGGCGGACGGAGGAATAACAAGATTCACAGCCCGAGCCCGTTCGGCGGACGGCATGCAGTGAGTCTTCTTAGTTCTTCGCCCGAGCTGAGACCCATCAACCTATCTTCACTTCTCCAGAACTTACAATTTAGACCTTCGACCCCTAGCTGATCCTCACAAGTCCTAGCGACTGATCAAAGGCATGTCTGCGTCTACCTAAGTCTACCTGTGGACTGAAACCGTTGTTTCGCCGCGATCTTTTCCCGCTGAGTTCTGAAACTGACACCGGATCGTCGGGTGGCCTTCTCGTTCACAGCTGCGCCCCTGCCCGTCAGTCGTGGTGAGCAAACTAGATACAACTATGGATGTCGAATGATGGCCGCACTGCACGCCTTCAGAAGCATCAGCAACCGTCGGCCACCTCTCAGCTCAATACGAAAGCCCTGCAGCGTTGTAAGATGTTGCAAGCAAATCCTGTCTGCAATCCGGGACTGGATGCAGGAGGTAAAGCTGGCTTCGACTGTGGCCCAACGATGCCCCATGTGGCCCTCGCTGTCGTTCTTGTCACTTGAAGACGTCTTGGTCTGGTCTGGCACCTGCCAAATGGGGCGATGCGCTTCCGATGAGCGAAGTAAGAAGGAAGTCAGGATAGGCGACAAGACTCCAGGATCGTACACACACCTGGCATCAACAAGAACAGGACACAGCAAGCACTGGCCTGGGCATCGTCACCTGGGCGGTTCGCTTCTTAGGCGCACGGTGCAACGCCAAATGCACTTGTGTACATCTGTACATGCCGCCCCTCACTCCCACTTGTGCCTGTGCATGCAGCCTTGCTTGCCAGGAACGCCTCCAGTCCGTGCCAATGCATTCTCAATAAATTGTATGCCAATACGAGAACATCTCAATGCGTTTTGCTCAGAACCGTGGTGTGGCACCTCCAGGTCCTGTGCTGCGACTGGGTATGCCTGGTGTGCGACTGGAGGCCTCGCACAGACAGGATTGGTCTCCATGGCCATGACTCGAAACAAGTGGTGAAGATGCGACAGCTCACCTTGTACCGGGTGGTGTGCTCACGGGCAATGCAGCCTCAGAACAGATGACTTCAGAACAATTCTTGCCAATACGATCTGACATGTCCTGGTTGTCAATTGCTGTCGCGCAAGGTTGTGTGCGCATGGACACCATGACAAGGCCTGAAGGCTTTGGAATCTGATTGTCTCAAGAGGCTCCAGGTTCCTGAAGGCTTTGCGCACTTGTGACGAACACATGTTCTATCCCTCCAGATTTGCCAAGATTTGTCAAAGATATGACTGCCACAAACGATATCCAAACCGCCCATACCTAATATTCATTAATATTCCATGCGATACACATCGCAAAACACACGCCTTAAGCCGTAAAGCGCTCTGCTGTGACGTCTTCGAGCCTTCTCTAGTGAACAAATTGACTGGCTTGTTTGGAGAACTGTACGTCTTCTCGAGACATCCTTACCTCGCTTCATTGTCGTGAAGGCCATTGGAGGCCTCTCACTTTCTTAACCCAAGAATGATGCTTTCAACAGTCTTTCAACCCTCCACTATGCGACCGACTGATGTGCGCACGCTAATTAAGCTTCACCCCTTGTTCCTGACAATACCACTGCAAAACAGGTACTGCGTGCTCAGTCTTGGTGGATGACTGTGATTACCTTACTGTGCCTACACATGCTGAGAGATTGTTCAGCGTGTTTCCCTCATGTTGGTTGGGGGGTGTAGAGGTCGACTGGGAAGGCCTTGTGGCCACAATGTGGACCGCGCGGATCATTGAGTCCTCGCGAACCAGGTGGGATCAACAATTGGCGCACTACTTTTGAATCGCAAAACCCCTGATACAACTGTCCGACTTAACGAGGGAGATTCTATCTTTGAAAAAGTATGCCGCAGACATCCGTCGAGCCCAAGCAGTGTAAGACCACATCAAGAGCACTCCCAGGCCGGAAACTTGTCAAGCCCCTGCCTACGAGACGGCCACGCTGCGCAGGTGCCTCAACCTAATCCTCCTTGATGCTCAACACACTCACTGGTTGGAACTTACAGAGACGATAGAGACGAGCGTGCCCATTCGAACGGCTCCGTGAGGTTGGTGCACTGCCGAGAGGCTCGCGGAGAAAGAGGCAAGAGCGAGGGAAGGCAAACATGGCAATAACAACGGGAAGGGCACTGTGAAAATTTCAAAAGGTGTGCGTAATTGTGCGAGGCGACACGCTGATTCCTACGATACGTATCGTGCTCATCGGTGCGCATCGCAACCTTTGGGTTGCCGGAGGTTCCCGGGGCGCTTGTAAGCCAAATGTTGCCAAACGCTACCTACTCAAATAGAGGATGGAGATGCGCGCCTTGCGGCTGTAGCTGTGGCAACGCTCCGGCTGGAGTAACGCCTTGCAGTTCGCGCATGCCCAGACAGTGCTATGAATGCGAGGCAGCACTTATTATGGTACTGTGCAACTTCCAGGTTGGGACCTTGTGCACCTTGCGAGCGTTCTGAGCCCATAGATCCTGCCGATCCTGCACGGACTCTTGCGCTCTGCCGTTTGATAGCCGAAAGCTGCACCCCAGCCTAGTAGGTGCGACATGCTGGGCCACAAGTTGCCATCTGGCACACGTGGCACTCTGCCTGCAATGATCTTTGCAAGTCAATGCAAAGCAAAGACACCTCAACTAATGCAGCTTTAAGCTTGCGGCAGCCTTCCAATGCTCCCAATTGCGGCAGCATCTGTTGGAAATCTGTCAAGCCCGCATCCCATGGACTTGTTCGCGAAGCAACGTTGCTGCACATCAGGCACTAAACTTTTTAGGAGCACGTTGGTGTGCCTGGGCCTGATGGTTGCCACGGCTGGTGGCGATTGGGCAGCATGCAGCCTGCACATCGCACCGGTCTTTCTGAGACAGTGTCATTCCTCTCCTAAATTGGTGATGCCTTCTGACTGTTTGCTGCAACTTGTTCGTTTGCTAAGAACTTGTCCTGAGCTTGGTCTGAGGAGCAAAACGCATCCGTATGAAGCAGTAACACACCTATGGCGAACACAATATGGTTTCTGGTGCATTTGCAGTATACATAAAGTACTGTCACTCTTCCTTGTTCACCAGCATCGGCTTCAGCTCGAAACCTATATGCCTTCTTGGCTCTTTGTATGACCGCGTTGTCTTGCACGAGAAGGAAGCTACGAGTACACACTAGAGAAGGGGCCATGAAAGCTAGGGGGCGAAAGTGCAGGCACGGCTCCGCGGGACACACAACCTTGAACCGCACACCATGAAGGTCTCGAATCTAGGATTTCGATTCTCGCACTCGCAAAAGCCCGGCAAGGCTTCGCTTAGGGTTCAGGGTCAAAACAAAGTGAGCACGAATGCACTGAACAAGCAATAGCGGACTTGCTCCTGATTCCGTTGACGAAATCATGTGGCTTTGCACGAATGCACAAAACAAGCAATGCAAGACTTGTTCCTGATTGTGGGCCGAAATCATGTGGGCTGAGCACGATGCACAGAGCACGCATCCAATCGGCCCTGATTCTGTGACGAAATCATGCGGGCTTGGTGCGAATGCAACGAACAAGCAATGCAAGACTGGCTGCTGATTCTGAAAATTCTGAAACGAAGGCCTGAGAGCTGTGCAAACTGCGCAAACTCACAGAATGCGGTGACAACTCGAACAGCTGACAGTCCATGAAAGTGACCCACGCAACTCACAGCCGGCTGGACTGAAAGAAGAAGCTAGATCTTGCGTCTGCAGCCTGGAGAGGACCTGGAGGGTAATTAGGGGACCTCCGGGGGGGCCCCTTCTCCCTTATCCCATGACGCATCCACCTTGGCACGGGGCCCTTTCCGCCACCCCCTTTTTTTTGGTATGGTAAACGTCCCGCAAGCTCCACAGAACTCTCCGTGATACGCTTCAAACTACTTCATCATGTCGTGTCCTCCTCTGCGTGCCTTGCTGTTGCACTCGTGACCACGGAAGGCGGACATCTTGCAAAGCAGGACCTGTTTAGAAAAACCAACGGCAAGTTGATCCGTGCACGACCACCCAGCCTTGATGCAATCTAGGGCGGGCTTGGACATGTTGTGCTAGGAGGCCTCAGTGAGGAAGCTCTATCTGAACACGTCAGCAAGTTGTGATGTTGTGATGCCCTTTGTTTCCAAGCCTTGCAAATGTGCAGGCGGCCACGACTGGTCCACCGCTGACACAAAGCCTCCCACGCGCATCGACACTGGCAACGATTGGTTTTTTCTTTCGCCCCTTGCAAGTTGAGACCAACAGTTGCAGTGGCAGCAGTCCGGCCTTTCATCATTGAGAGATGGCTCGGTCGAGGCTCTTGTGCGAAAGCTCCGGGGTGCTGTAGCACCCTAAGTTCGTTGCGGGTGAAAGACCCACATGGAAAAATCAGTGTCACTCTAAGGGCACCGCGGAAGCGAGTAAGTGCTTCCTATCACCAGGGGACATGGCAGGAGCATGGCAAATTCGGGACGCTGCAGCAAGATTGAACAAATTTGAGCAGGGCCTGGCTGTGGGGTAGTGCCGTAGAACCGCGCAGGACCAGGCTCCTGCATGTATTGCATGTATGTGTGGTTGCGCGCTGTGCGTTCTCGCCCCTTTCACATCCATACCGCAGTAGCCGACAAACAAACGTCGACAGCCCTAAACCCTTTTCCCTGGAACAAAACCACAACCACACCAGAGGCCGTGACCATCCTAGGGGGGGTGGGGTGGGGGGGGGGGGGAACCTATCGGCTTCGCGACTGCGTGCATGTTCGAAGCCTTCGTTGCCCCTGGTGTCCTTCAGCCCAAGCCGTCGGTGACGGGGATCACATGGTTTGTTCGATGCAGGCGCTGCGTGGCCAGGACTTGGGTTTGGGGGCATCGGGGGGTTCGGGGGGTTTGGGGGGCTTGGGGGCCGCAACGTGGCTCGAGGCGGAGGCGGCACTTCCAGACTCTGTGGTCTCTGCGCCATAGCAGGGGCGAAAGAAGGGATGACAGCACTGCAGGGATCGGGTGGCACTCCATGTTTGCCCAAAGCAGCTGCCAAACCTCCCAATGGCGAGGCGAGCACTCTGACATCACGAACAGGGTGAAAGCAGTGGCCTGCCGCATCTCCCTGCAAATCCTGGCAACACAGCCCCGCAGCTAGGAAGACTATGGAAGACTTGTGCAAAGATTTGTGTCTTCTCGGTCCTCCGAGGTCATTATCCTTAGCAGCGGATGTACCGACAATGACAGCATCTCGTCGAACATGCCGAACACGCACGAACGCAATTTCAGTGGTTTTCTGAAAGATGCGACGGTCGGCTTCGGATCTCAGACATCTGAGGGAGCCACAGGCTAAATACGGGCTACTTATCCACAATACCAGATCTTCCCGAGCGCACGAAGATGCCGCGGTTCAAGTAAGTGCGAGGCTCCTGCTGCTGCATGGCTGCTTCCGCAGACATGGCCAGCAATCTACGATGGTAAATAAAAATTCGACGTTGGCCCAGATAGAGCCAGCACCCCTACATCTCTCATCCACGCTAGCAGTGAGATTTCGCTACCTTTCCACGGTCGGAAGACTGCACCAGGCACATTCAGGTGACGGCCTGGAACTCATAACTCCTTGAGTGAAGTGGCTCTGAACCAGGAGGCTGCAGTGCAAATGCCGCAAAGGCGTTGACTTTGACAAATCTTCAAAGCATTTCAAGGCTGCATTTTCTTTCCATCGTGCGAACTCGTCCAGCTGCCACCTGCAGTTCGGCGAAGGATTGACATTCTGGAGGCAGAGTACATATTGACAAGTCATTACAGGTCTCATGTCAGGCCAATGGGAACTGACTGACAAGCATGAATAATTAAGCATGACCACAGGGTTACAAGGCATCCACATCAAACAGTCATCAAACAGTGCCGACAGACACTGGCCATTCAAGGGTTACCCGAAAACATTTGAAGTTCGCTCGGGCAGCCACAAACTAACAATAGATTCGAACAAGAAACTCCGAAATTTTCTGGAGTCCGGCTTTCTATAAATTCCTTCGAACATTTCATTTCGAAAGCCGGCTTCTAGAGTATGCGCACAAACCCAAGAACTGTTTGGGTGCGGGGGGGGGGGGCGGCGGCCCCTAGATACTAAAGCGAAGTATGTCTATGGAACAGTTCTGGAACACTTGACCCTGTGCCGTGGCATGCTGCCAACATCTGCAAACTCAGCTCCTCGCATCTCATCTCTCCCGAGCCCGGTCTGACCGCTCTCGACCTCGAAAACCTAACCCACCCAAACTACGCATATGACGCATATGTTTCCAGAGCGCGATTGAGGTGCAATTGCGGATATTGCGGCCGACATCTTGGACCCTCACGCCCTTCTTGGGATGGCTTGGCGGCTGTGGCCTGTAGACATGGGCACGCCCCTTTTCTTGGAACATGCAGCTCGGGCAGCATGGAACCTCAACACATTCTCACTAACACAGGTCACCCAGCTGACACGTCAACAGGGCCTTGCTGGCCGCCTTGCTGCCTGTGGACTTCTCGATGTCCACGCCTTGCTACGCAAGTTTCTGTTGGGCTATATCATAGAACTGTCAAGCCCGAGTCTGTCCATTTTCAAAACAAACGGAGCGATCCGCACCGTGCACATGGTGTTCCACCGTGTGGTTGCGTCCAAAAATCGGTACAGAGCCTATGCAGTGGCATGTGCAAGAAGCCACGTGAATCCAAGGTCCAAGGCCGACTCATGATCTCGGTTCCGACTGACTTCTTTAGGAGCGTCCATCATATCGGCTGTGATGAATCGCGAACCAGCAAACAAAGGACAAACAAATGGCTGAAACTCCGAGAAAGGAATACAGTAGTGATTGCACAATGATTGCACAATGATTGTACCATACGTAGCACGAGGCACACAAGCTATATACGTGTGCTCTCGGCTTTGCGGCCCCAGGGACGCCCAGCACAGTGGGAAGATTTTCTGAAGCGAACAGCCATGGAGAATTGAACCGCGCCTCGAAACGCGATTGTGCGCGTGCTCCCAGTATTTTTCCATCTTCTTACAGCGCTGATGGCGACGTTGTAGGCATCTGGGTTCTGGCTTGCTTCGTCTGCGATCAAGGCTCACAGACGAGGAGCCCCAGAATCATCACATCCCTTCCCTGACCACGCACATGTGACAGGCACACTCTTCTTCGTACGTTTTGGTCATCTGAAAGAATCCAAGACGACTTCTTCGCATCGACAATGATTACACCGAGACATTCTGGTAGCGTAACATGCTCCCATTTTCCCACAGACATGTCCTCGTCCCAATTCAATGGACAGAAACTCCCCAGCGCGTTGCCTTGTGCGTCTGGAAGCTTGCCCGTCTCCACGATGTCATCCACGGCCCTGACAGAAGTGGAAGTTCGTTGCTTGGAACGCCAGTCGTGTGCACGCATTTAACGCCGCACCTTCTCACAATTTCAATCTGCTCCTGCGTGACAACCTGCTGCCCGCATCGGAAACTTTAAGTTGCAAGCCGTAGGCCCACAGAAGTATAATTGTAGCCTCATCTCCGCGTGGCTTCACGACGATGTGCAACGGCTCCTGCTGACAGAAATGAAGTTGCATTGCATGGCATGGCCAGGAACGCGTTAGGTATACATATTATGTATACATATATACATATATACATATATACATATATATATATATATATATGTATGGCTCTCTCTCTGGATCTCTCCTCGCCAGCGCCCGGACCTCAGTCTCAGGTGCACAAACTCCTGTGCTTGTGCGACTGCGGAAAAATTGGCACGTTTTGCGTTACAGAGCTTGCTTTCGGGGAATGAGTTTTTGTGCCGCTTTGGCATGTCGTGGCCTCCAGGAGCACCGGTGCCTCGGAGTTGCAGCCGGCAGCTGGCCTTCCCAAACGAATCTCACGTGAGACAGAATGAAGCATCTGCAAAGCAAAAGAAAGCCTTCTTTACTCACTTTACTCATAGTCAGGACATCGCATGATGAGTGGGTCTGCCCACGAGAAGGCTTCTCAGCAATATACTATGTATATTCAATCCTCACATGACGCAATGCAAGCTTTCCAATGCCTCCCAACGCAAGAAAAAGTGAATGCAGATCAAGACTTCTACGGTTTGTTGCACTGCCATTGCACTGCCTTCTTCATCATGGTTCGAATGTTCGACCTTCAGTTCTCCACACGCACTGCGGGATTCTCCTACTCCTGCAGCCACAGCATCAGCTTTGCACAGCCAGGTGCATTATGGTGCATTTGAAGATCCACAGCGCATGCAGGGAGAAAACACACCTGTTCACTGCGATCATCCCCGCCCTACTCCGTAAAATTCGGCTCCAGGTGCTCGGTCTCTGGGGTGGGAACTGGAGCGGACTCGCTGCGAGCTTCTGCTGGTGTGGGCACTCCAGGCATACTTATACTTGACGCGACTGTCTGCTGGCTTCTGGTGGGACTCCCGGGATACTCGGTGCGACTCTCTATGGGCTCTGTGGGGGCACTCCGGCCGAGGAGGCGAGAACGGTTGATTGAAACTTAAACTCTAACAACCCCACCCCTTGCGGAACAACAAAAGCGGCACACAAATCACAATCACACAAACCCACGCACCCACACCCACACCCACACCCACACCCACACCCACACCCACACCCACACCCACACCCACACCCACACCCACACCCACACCCACACCCACACCCACACACACACACACACACACACACACACACCCCACACACACAACATGCACACAACATGCACACACACACACACACACATCTGTATCCCCACCATGTCTTGAACACTTGTACCCACGACAACCTGCATCCGACGCCCCGTCAAAAAAAAGTTGGACCCCACGACAAAAAGACACACACGACAAGCAAACGCTGAACAGGGCTTGCAAGCTGTTTTAGGCTTTGGAGGTAGATGTAAGCGGCCTTTCGGCTTGGCCTGGTTTGGGTAATGGACCGAAAAGCGGCTAGGACATCAGGCTTTTGGAGCTCTTGGGGCCTCTAAGGCTTGAAAAAGCGGATTCCCGGCCTGGTTTGGGGCTTGGAATATCACAGAACATGCTTGGAATGGTCTTAGGGCCTGCGGATTGGGCTTGGAATCTCGCAACAGAACACGCTGGAATGGCCTAGTGGACCGAAAAAAGGCTAGGGAATTTGGTTTTTGGAGCTTTTGGGGCTTCTAAGGCTTGAAAAAGCGGATTCCCGACCTGTTTTGGGGCTTGATCCCACACAACACGCTGGAATGGCCATTAGTTGAAAAGCAGATTCCCGGCCTGGTTTGGGGCTTGGAATCCCACAGAACACGCTAAAATTGCCCGAAAAGCTAGGGAATCCGGTTTTGGAGCTCTTGGCGCCTGTAAGGCTTGAAAGAGCGGATTTGGGGCTTGGGCTCTTGGGGCCTTGAAGGCTTGAAAAAGCGGATTCCCGGCCTGGTTTGGCACAGAACACGATGGAATGGAATGAACCGACCGAAAAATTCCAATAGAAAACAATCGAAAACCAATCGAAAATAAGTTTTCTATTGGTTTGTAAATAGAAAACCAATAGAAAACCAGTTTTCTTTTGGTTTTTGAATAAAAAACCAATAGAAAACCAGGTCTCTATTGGTTTTTACATGGAGAACCAATAGAAAACCAGTTTTCTATTGGTTTATAAATAGAAAACCAATTTTGGTTTGTTATTGGTTTTCTATTGGTTTCTATTTGAAAACCAATAGAAAACTGCTATTGGTTTCCTTTAAAAACCTATAGAAAACTGGTTTTCTATTGGTTTTTCATTCAAAACAAACCAATAGAAGCTGGTTTTCTATTGGTTTTCCATTTGAAAACCCATACAAAAACTGGCCTTCTATTGGTTTTCTATTGGCTTTTTTGCGGGCTAGGGAATCCGGTTTTTGAAGAAGCGGATTCCCGGCCTGGAATGGCCCAATGGACCGAAAAACGGCTAAGGAAACCGGTTTTTGGATCTCTTGGGGCCTCTAAGGCTTGAAAAAGCGGATGCCCGGGCTGAAGCTTCCTCCTACTCCTCCTAGTCTGTCGTACTATCGTGATTACAAGAAGTCTGCCGGGGGCACACCTAACCCCCACGTTTCTTGTCATGGGGTCTCAAAAACCTGTCGTGCGTACAGACCCCTCTTCACACCCATACACCACCCACACACACCCACACACAACATACACACAACATACACGCACACACACGCACACACACACACACACATGCTTGGGGCTTCACGCTCCCGGGCCGAGGATTGCTGTGTATGCCTCTGGAACACAGTAACGGAAGCTTTTGTTCATGAAGCTGCTCAGATGTGGTCCCGCTCTGAGCTCACGGCAGCTCGCTGCTTAGCTTCGGGGCCATCACCCTCAAATTTCTGGAACGGGATCACCACCTGCTTTTTTGCACAGTCGGTCACTAACTTTCT